CGTGAATATGACCAGGCCGAGAAGAGGAGAGAGAATAAGGGAGCCTGCAGGCTAGTACGTAGTGGATTGGACCGAAGAGGGTGGTGAGGGCGGTGGTGGTGGTGGTGGTGGTGGTGGTGGATCTTGGTAAATTCATCTACAAGCTACTCCGTACTAAGTAGAGTAGATGGAGAACGCATCCATCCGCCAACTCCGCAGTGGGAGAGAGAGGCGTGCAATTTCCCCATATCATCGCTGGCTCGAATTGGTGAATTTTGGACAAGACATTGGGATTACTAGACCATCAACTTAATTTAGCAGTACTCACTAGTAAGGTACAGGCACTGGCCGGTGTCAGTCTTTGCTTTCAGGCTAGGTAACAATGAGTAAAGACCGATACCATTCAATCATACGGGCTCCGTTCTTTACCGGGCGGTGCAGATGGTTCAGGTGGATGGCAGTGGTTCGTTCGCCATCCCTCCGTCCCTCCGCTTACTGGAGGGCGGGCGATCGGACGGCGCTGGTAAATACGATGTATCACTTCGGTACTAGGTACGGGTGCGGCCCCTCCGGGTGACCAGCAACCAATCAACCCCTGCCGCCCTCCTCCATACGTCGCCGTCTCCTCCTCTCTCTCCACCACCAAGCCTTTTGCTGCACTTCAGCCTTTCCTCTCCTTCCTTCGACTTCATTTTCCCTCTTCCTAGGTTGATCCTCCCTCTTTTCCTCTTCTTCCCTCCCCCTCTCTCTCTCCCCGACTTCCTCCTCTCTTTCCTCCTTCGCTTGCTTCACCCCCCCGTTGCGTTTCCGCTCCCTTCTATATTCACCATCTTCCTTCGTTTATTCCTCCCACTCCGCCGACTCTTCCGCCCATCCTCCTCGTCCGTGGCCCGTTCCCGTGGCCGTCCGCTCCTTACGATAACAACAATTCCCTTCGTCGCCTGCACGCTTCTCGAACCCGAGTCCATCACGACCTTCTACTGCAGATTATCTTTCTCAAGAGAGTCTGTCACATCTTGATTCTACTCGGATCAGTTGAAGAGGCTTCTGTCTAGCCGCCGTTCGGTTCATTTCGCTGCCTTCGACCCTCGGCCTTCGACCGTTTCATTATTACGAGGTTCTCTTACTATCACCTCATTTATTAATATCAAGTTTGTTGGATCTGTGGCTCTTTGGGGTAATCGATGGTCTCGATGTGCAAATAAAGACCTCCAGCCAGAGTCAGGCTTTCCAATCCATACTAGGGAAGTCGCATCGGTCTGGAGGTCCCTGTGTGCTTGGGCTACATCAACTGTACTCATTTGCAAATCACGGGGCTGGCCGAATATATCTGCAACATTTAGTTATTACATAGTATCAGCAGGTGATCATGGCTTCGATTTCTCTGCCCCCGCAACACCCAATCACTCCAGCATTCTCCGAATATCTTCGACCCATCGATCGGTCCCCTGTTGGTCATAGCCGCCGCAACTTGACCATGTCAACTCCGCTTCCAAACCCACCATTTGTCTTCCCGGCACGAGACCCCGGCGATACAATGTCGGAGGCCCCAGCGACTAGACGCAGGACTCCTCCGCCCCTTCCGGCTTTCTCATTCAATCCAGGGTCTAATCACTCTGCACAGCCGTCAATGCCGAATCTCCCTTTGAATAGACCAGGTGGTCATCGGCGACGATGCAGTGAGTTTGTGGGTGGGGATCGTTTAGCCATTCCTGGACCCGTAGAGGCCATCCAAGGCAACGATGAGAGTTCAGGCTCGACACCTGCCACACTTCCTGCTCCAGGTCCCGGCTTCGGTGCAGGCAGCCAAGGAAAGCGGCGTCATGCCCACCGACGCTCAGCTGCTATCTCTAGCGTGGACCTGACTGCAATCTCAAATGCACTGGACCTGAAGCCTACTGTCGAGAGTGCTCCCTGTATGCCGGCAGACCCGATGCGAGAGCATCATGCTTCTGATGAGCCTACGCGGCCTGCATCACAATCGGCTGCCATACTGTATCGAAACTCGCCACCTGCTTCCCCTCAAATTGTTGTGGAGACAGAGCCCCCGACTCCCGTCAAATCAAGCGATGAGACTACTATCCCTTCACCTGGTTGTTCTTCGCCTGAACAGTCGCCTAAGTTCCTTGCACCCACGAGCGCATCGAATCCCGACTTCTCCACTAGAAACAGTGGCGTTGTTGAGATGAGCTCTGCAGTTGAGCCCAAGCTCTTCTCAAATGAGAAGCCCAAGCCTAGGCCCAGGACTGCTGATGCTTCTCTAATGCTGGATCAGAACATGGACTTAGGCATTGGGGATACCTCATCTTCGAAGCGACCGCTATCTGCAGCGGGCCATTCTCGGAACCGCAAAAGCTTTTCTTCGGGAATTCTAGATCATTTTGCGGGCTCGTCAAGACGGTCCTCCTCGTCCAGTAACACGGGAAGTACTTCGGATACCTCTGATCATGATCCCCGTGAGTCTTCAGATTCTTTCAATACACATAAGAGGATATCCAAGGCGAAAAAGCGGCAGAAGAAGGTGCGCTCATGGGCCGGTGCTATCCTAACCAGAGGCAAGGCCAAGCGACATGTGAAGAAGGACATGAGCGAAAACATTCAGCCTTCTGTTCCTGCCCCTGTGATTACGAGAACCAACTCCGACCTTGGATCGGGACTGGAAGTGGACTTCGATGATGACACCATTGTTGTTATCCGCACGCCTACTAACCCTGCTACACCAGACGCTCGGCGTCCCACGTCTCATGATTCAAACGTACCATCTTTGGAGCATTCGTGGAAGCCAAGGAGCTTCTATGAGCAGACAACCCAAAATGATACTCTCAGTCCTGTCATCGACTTGGATGCAGCTTTAGGGCCATTTAATACGCCTGACATGCACTCTGGTCGTGTTGCAGAAAGTGGTTTCTCGGCAGCTACCAAGCGTATGTACAGTGGCGGTAGGCGGGGTGAATTTGTTGGTCCAGAGATGCGTTATCATCGCCGTGCGGAGAGTGCACCTGAGATGCCACCCTTTGACCGCAGTTTTCTGGGAAATAACCGATTGGTGAATACTTCGACATTGGAGAATCCAGATGTGCTTTATGAAGAAGAAGAGGACGCTTTCTTGGCTGCTACGAGCGAGTCTCCAGCTGAAAATATTGAGCGCCCGCTCTCACAGGTCATCTTGTCAACTTCATGTGATGCTGAGAGTAGATCTGAGGAAAGCAAGAGCAGCTCCGAAACACTTACTGCCCACCCTGTGATTGACGAGGTCCGTGACCAACCTCATACTGGTCTTGGGATTCAGGAAACTGAAACTCAAACTATGTCGACCGCCGACGCTACTTCTTCCAGTCAAGAGGATCTCAGACCTCGTACTGCATCAAACGCCATCCATCAATTACAGAATGCGGGCAATCCATTTTCTAGTCCGTTGAGCGATCCAGTCGATGTTGCCGAGCAAGAAGCATGGCAGCACCGCATGCCTGTTCCTACAAGCCCCGACGTTTCGCCACGATTTATGGCTGCTGATACTCGACCTACCACCTCCCCTTTGGAGCTGACATATAACATCCCTCCACTGTCTCTCCAGGGAAGCACACTTGTCTCGAATTCCTCTTTTTCGTCTCCCGACTTCACCGGCTGCTCATCGGATGCCCCTCGGTCGATAACTACTCCATCCACGAGTGACCGTAATTTCTCGAACCCTTCATACAATCCGTCCATGGATCTTCCGCAGACGTCAGTTGAGGATGTTCCCTCTCTCACAAGCAGTGCATCTACGACGACGAACACACCCCACCGATTCTCTGGCACATTTTTCGGACGTCCTCGGTTGTCCTCCGACCGTTCTGCATCATTCTCTGAGGCTGTGCGCCGCCGCACCAGCCGTGCCAACAGCTATAAGAGGTCTAGTCTTGCCAGCCTCTCTAAACTAGTTGTTGGCTCTCAGGGAGAGAAAAGCAAACTCAGCCATGAAGAGAAGCCACCTGAAGATGAGCCTGAAAAGTCTAAGAGGAAATCTCACCGGATCAGTCGTTTGATGCACTTCTGGAGGAGCAAAGATAAAGACCGGCCGCATGAACACGGGGTTCAAGAAGAGCCACACTTATGAAACAACCTTTTTTCGAGACAAATATTGACACATGTACATATTCAACCTGATCATGATTCGCTTCTCAGTGGTCTTTGCAAGATCTCTTACCTCTTCACATTTTTTTTCTCTTCCGCATTTATTTTCTTGATCAAGTTCCCCTTTACTTTTGTTGGGGCAACTGACGAATTTCTTTCCATTGGCATGTGATCGCAAGCGTCAGAGTATGAAGCTCTATCCTTTTCTTCTTTTCGAGATTTCATGTCTTTCATTCGAGACTTGTTGCAAGTTGTGAGCCAGTTCAATCAACTTGGCTTGCTATTTCCCAAGCTACAATTTTTTTTTCATCATACCTTCTCTCGGCTCCTCCCTTCTCACTCCATCTCATCCTGACCCCCGATCATCGGAAGGGCAGGGCCTGTTCCTCGTCCTATCCCTCCATGGGACATCTGATGTTCTTTTTGTTCTTTTTGGGCATATCTACATTAGGGAGGGGGCAATTTGATTTTTTTTTTCTTGGCTGGTCGAAGCTGTTGGTTGCTGTCGGTTTTCATGGACTGGAGGCTCTTTCTGACGAATCTAGCATGAAGTCTTTATATGGATACTGAAACAGCCGCGTATGGCTGCAATGAATGTACATTCTGCGGCACTAATCTTGACAAGCCGTCAATTCCCATGTAAGAAATTGTACTTGCCCACTTATATCTCGTCGGTTTGTGCAGCAACTAAGGAAGTATGCACCGGTTTTGGTCATAAGGTTCACACTTGAGGGTTGTAGAAGATATATCTGTACTGTATGCAGAACGCGGGAGCCCCACACGCCGAACACCAAAAAACTCAACTTCGCACCGCCGCTTTCCTTGGCACTGGAGGAAGCTATTGATTGATATTAGTATACACGGAGTCCATATCTATATATAAAAATTAATCTCGACCATTCCTCGACATGGGCCCCTCGAAAAAGTCCGCCAAGGCCACCCAGGGCCGCGGCGGCAGCAAAAACGAACCCAAAAAACGTACAACTACTCAGGGCAAGCACCGGCCGCAAGATGCAGACTCGGCCGGAAACCAGATCAATATCTCCGCGACCATTCCCCTGACCCTCCAACAACTGCTTCTAAACGTCTTCAAAGCCGCTTTACTCACGCACCGAGTGCCTAGCAGTAGCAGCCGTTCGATTGAGAATGGCGACGAGGGTCATGCAGGCGCTGTCGCCCAGGCTCCCGAAGCAGCAGCGGAGCAACCGCAGCAACCTCCTCAACTGGACATCAAAGGTCTCATCCAGACCATCAAGTCCCATCTGTACAACCGGGACTTCGACTCGGCGTTTACGGATGCGGATGAGGAGCTCCTGCGCGCGTATGCCCTGCGCTGGAGCTCTTCGCGCGCCTTGGGCTATGCGGGGATCTTTCGGGCTTTGTTGGCGGTGTTGTTGAAGCGGAAGGGGCAGGGTGGTGCTTCTGCTGCTGGTGCTGGTGCTACCAATTCAGCGGGTGAAGGTGGTGATGAGGCAGAGGCGGAGGAAGGGGTCAGTGGCCATGTGGTTTGTATTGGTGGTGGTGCGGGAGCTGAGATTGTTGCTCTTGCGGCTGCTTGGAGGGATTGGATGGATGCTGTTGCTGGTGGGGAGCAAGAAGATCCACGGACACTCGCTGCTATAGTGGGCGATCTCTCTTTGCACGAGACGAATGAACCGGAGGCTACTGCGCGCGAGGAAGCCTCGACACCCAATGCACTATCGAGGGTGATGAAGCGCCACCGACTCTCCGTCACAGCCATCGACATCGCCGACTGGTCGCGCATCGTCGACCGCCTGGTTTCCACCATCCGATCGCCCGCCGTCGCGGGGTCAGACGCGCATCCGGCTCCGTTGTATCGAGACGCGGGGCTCAGCATGAGCCCGGACGCGCAGCCCGATACTAGTGCCCCGGCCTCGAGCAGCTTCCAGGTGGGCTTCCAGAAGCTGGATATCCTCTCGGCCTCGGAGGAGGAGCTGCGGAGGCTGGTGCACCCGCCGCGCGAGCAGGACACCCGCACCCCCGTCCTGGTGACGCTGATGTTCACGCTGAACGAGCTGTTTTCGACCTCCATGGCCAAGGCCACGGGCTTTCTGCTGCGGTTGACGGACCTCCTGCGGCCGGGGGCTGTGCTGCTTGTGGTCGATAGTCCCGGTAGCTATTCCACGTTGAAACTGGGGAAGAATAGTGGTGGTAGCGGTGGCGACGGTGAAGAGGGGGAGGAGTCGACGAGGAGCAGCACGTCAGACCGACAGTATCCGATGAAGTTCCTGCTGGATCATGCCTTGCTCTCCGTCGCGGCTGGCAAGTGGGAGCGGCTGTTCTCGCAGGACTCGCGCTGGTGGAGGCGAGATGCGGCGCGGCTGCGGTATGGTGTGGGGGATGCGGCGGGCTTGGAGGATATGAGGTTTCAGGTTCATATCTATCGCAGATCAGCGGATTGAGATCTCTGTGTGTGTTTGGGTTTGCGGTATATATCTTACTGGCTGTTGGTTTCTTGGTTTCTTGGATAATAGATGCTGAAGAATGTTACGGTGTGCTTTGGGAGCTGGTACCTTTGCAAGCTTAGTCCGGAAGACTTGCAAGAGTGTTTTCCTGGATAATAACGAACTAGCAGGATATATCATTGAGAGATACGGAGGGAGAGAGAAGAATGTGTATGTTATTGCTACAGGAGATAAGAAAGGTGGTGTATGTCAAACAGGAAGAGGAAGACACCAAACAACATCAGTTTCGCCAGGGAGATCATGCACGCCCGAGATCCATCCGGGTTCAAAGGAAAAACAATTAGATAACGAAAAACTACATATCCACTGCTGGTTTTTTTTTCAGTTTCTCAGGCCCAGCAGAAGGCTTGTGTTCTTGCCACCTTCCTTGCCGTCGTTGCCGGGCAGGTATGTCACGTTGGGGTTGCTGGCCAGCGTGTTGGCGATCTCCTTGCTCGCCTCGATGCGACGGATCTCGATCAGCCCGCTGCCAGCCTTGGCGACGGCCTTGCTGATGATATCGGCACTCTCGGCCTCACCCTCGGCGCGGATGACGTTGGCCTGGCGCTCCTGCTCGGCCCGCTCGACGATGAAGCGCGCCCGCTCGGCGTCCTGCTGCGCGATCTGCTTCTGCTCGACGGCGCGCGTGAACTCCTTGCCGAAGGTCATGTGGGTGATGGAGACATCCTCCAGGGCGATGTTGAACTGGGCCGCCCGCTTCATCAGGTCCGTGCGGATGCGATTGGAGACGGCCTCGCGCTGGGTGATCAACTCGGCGGCATCGAACTGGGCCACGATGGCCTTGAGGACTTCGTTTCCGATGGAGGGCAGCACACGCTCGTCGTAGTCGGTACCGTATGACTAGTCAAGTATGATCAGAAACGCGTGAACACGATGTGAGGGGAAGGGATCGGGGTGCGAACCTGGTAGATCACCGGCAGCTTCGGGACATCAGGACGGTGCAGGACTCGCAGGGTCAAGCTGACCATCTGCAAGTCTTTACTTCCGGTGGTGGTCGAGATATGGCGGGGCTTGGTGCGGACATCGTAAATGATCGCCCTCTGCAACCAGGGGATGAGGAAATGTGTGCCTTCGTTCACGACCTTCTCCTGCACACCGGACAACCGGTCGAAGATGACGGCGCGGGTACCGCCACGGACATCGTAGAGGGATTCGCCGAGGAGCCAGAATCCCACGAAGGGAGCTCCGTATGTGAACAAGAAGCGGTTCGACATGGTGGGGGTGATGTGCTGTTGGGAGGGGGGGGGGGGGGGGGGGGGGGGGGGGGGGGGGGGGGGGGGGGGGGGGGGGGGGGAAGGAGGAGGGGTGTTGGGTGTTGCGAGATGGAAGCTCTAAGGTCGACTGAGGTATTCAATCCCGCTCACTGAATGGATGGGAGGAGATGATGTCGCGGGAGGCTTTTCGCAGGCTGTCCTGATCGGGACTAGTGCTGGGCGGTCTCGTTCGACTTCGACCTTCGCCCGTTTCGGTCCGAAAGCCAACCTCGACTTTCTCAAGTTCCCTTCTGTCCTGCCTGCCTTCGTCCTCTTCCCTTTCCACACCGCGTTTCCTAATACCTCGAAACTCGTCGCATACTTTCACAATGGGTGGTTCTCTTGATCCTAAGAACGGAATGTGAGTTCTTCTCTGTGGACTGGTGCCCACATCGCGATCCCTAGCTTTTCCGGAGCCGGCTATCATGCGGCCCTTGTCTACGGAGTCCTCGAGCCCAGTCTGTCCCAATGGCTTAGACGGCGATAGACGGCGAAAAGGGATGCATTGATACTCAGGAATAATTGCTAACTTGTGGCCGGCATAGTTTCCTCGGCACGTGGGGTGACCTCGGTATGGCTCTTGAACCCTCTCTCCGAGCGGGATGATGCAGACAACGTCCTGGGGCGGCAACCACATCTGATTGGGAGCATGGCTTGCGTTATTCGCAGATGACCAGGTCCGAATCAATGCTGGATGCTCCTCAAGATGACGATCACAAGCGATGTCATTCCGACAGGCCGACAATGATGTGGCTGACTTTGAATCATTCCAGGCTGCCCTACTCCCCAGCGTATCACCTCCTACTCCCTCTCTCCTAACCGTCAGCGCCCTCTCGCCGGTGCCGGTCACGCCGCTATCTTCAACACCTTCCGCAGATTCAGACACCAGGTCCTCTACGTCGTTCCTCCCTTCGTTGCCGCCTACGCCCTCATGAACTGGGCTATTGAGCGGTATGCATTCCCTCTACCCGTCCACGGGGAACATCTACTTCTATCTGATGCGCGCCATTGCAGCGACTGGCTGACTCGAAGCTGACACTGTGATCTTCTTTCTAGCAACGAGTACCTCAACTCCAAGCCTGGCCGCCTTCTCGAGGGTGGAAACGAGTAAATGTAACGTGCGATACCAAAGGGATCACTACGGGGAAGACATGTAGCCCAGGAAGAATGCAGGAATTTGTTTGGTGATTGCGATGTACAGTAACTAGAAGCAATCGATTGTGTTGCGTGTGCTGCTTTGCCTACGAGTAGTTCAAGCGTGGGGTCAGTATCTGTAATGGATGTGTTTAGATAGGTCGGATGGACTCCAGATCCAGGCGACCTTGGCCAATCGTAGCGTCCGACCACCAATGCAGTGCTCTGCGCTGATTGCCAGTGACCTTCTCTGTTCTATGACAATGCCCTTCGAATGGTCTCTTGTCTTACACACCCATTGAGCTATGTCTCGATTGGAATTGTGTTTTGTGGCTTTGGCCGTGAGGATGCTGCTGCTGCCCAAGTGCCTAAAAGGCATGTTTCCCCTACAACAGCAGCGCACAGGCCTGACACGGCCATTGTTCGTGATGGGCACTGAATGGGATCTCTTACACAATGGTTTTAGCAAAGAGGGAAGGCTGCTTTCTTATCATTCACGTCTCATCTATAACTACTAAGCTGTTCAACAAGAATTGATCAATGTAATGTATTGTAGCTCGATCCCCTAAAATGACCGAAACGGGTCAATGAAGAGAGAACTTGGGTAAAAAAAAGGCTAGGGATACGGCGACCGGTACAGTCCATTACGCGCCGTACCATACGTACTAGTAAATTTAGTTTTAGTGGACTTCCAAGTCGACTTAAGTCAACTTCCACAGCAAGTACCTGTCTAGGTAAACTACAGTGTGAGACTGTCACTGGGCAGAACTTCCCCTCCATTATTTTTTTTCTTCCCTCGCTGGATTTGGAAACCCCCCACTCCGCATGCGCTCGTCTTTCTTCTCGTCTTTCTGCCGTCCTTCTTCTTCTTCTTCCTCTTCCTCTTCTTCCTCTCTTCTTTTTCGGTTCTCTTCACTTCCTCACTCACTTCCTCCTCCTCGCCCTTTTGTATTCTCTTGTTCGCATCTTTCGCGTACTTCTCAATCCGTCACCATGAGCGACATCACTCACCCCACTATCAAGGGCAAGTTCTTTCACACCACCAACACCCCTCCATCACTACTCAGTTACCCCACCTCGCCTATGTTGGGACTCTTCCCAAACCAGTCCTTGACTACTCCTCAATGGACCAGGCGAGCTCGGGCTGATGTGACAATGCAACATGCTACCTCAATTACACAACTTTCCTGTCAAGGCATAATGCCTAGGAATACCCCTCATCGCTAACCTCTTGCGCTCTGCAGATGGCTGGTTCTCCGAGCAGTCCAACATGTGGCCTGGTCAGGCCATGAACCTCAAGGTTAACCAGATCCTCCACCACGAGAAGTCCAAGTACCAGGACGTTCTCGTCTTCGAGAGCAGCGACTACGGCACTGTTCTTGTTCTTGACAACGTTATCCAGTGCACCGAGCGCGATGAGTTCTCGTACGTCCGGCCTTCTCTGCTGCGTCCCCCCCCCCCCAAAGCCTCTCAACATGTCCATGCTTTACCTTTGTGTTACCTTGCAGCCCACTCTTCTATAAGGCAGGATTTACTTGCAGGACTGACCTTCATTGGATCATAGCTACCAGGAGATGATCACCCACCTGGCCATGAACGCTCACCCCAACCCCAAGAAGGTCCTCGTCATTGGCGGTGGTGACGGCGGTGTCCTCCGTGAGGTCGTCAAGCACGAGACCGTTGAGGAGGCCATTCTGTGCGACATCGATGAGGTACAACCATCCCATGAATGATACGAAGGGGAACGTTCCAGCTCATGCAGTTCTAGGCCGTCATCCGTGTCTCCAAGAAGTACCTGCCCGGCATGAGCATCGGCTTCCAGCACCCCAACGTCAAGGTCCACGTTGGCGATGGCTTCGAGTTCCTCAAGCAGCGCCAGAACGAGTTCGACGTCATCATCACCGACAGCTCCGATCCCGAGGGTCCCGCCGAGAGCCTCTTCCAGAAGCCTTACTTCGAGCTCCTCCGCGATGCGCTGCGCGAGGGCGGTGTCATCACCACACAAGGTTGTTCGTCGCCTTTACTTGGTTCTCATCTGCCCACTCTCACATGCCCGGTCTCCTCTTTTCCACACTACTACACCTTTTTGTCTTTATTCTCTTTCTCGTTATTTCTCTCATTCTATTGTCTGATTTCTTTCTTCTCCCTACCCCTTGATGTGTATCCCTTTCGTCTCCTTTTATCTCTCCCCCTCCCGCTCCATTCCGATACTCCATCGTCTCTCTCGATTCACTCGTCAATGTTCCATCCATGTGAAAGCTAACCAAACTATCCGACTACAGCCGAGAACCAGTGGCTCCACCTGTCCCTGATCACCGACCTCAAGAAGGCCTGCAAGGAGGTCTTCCCCGTCGCTGAGTACGCTTACACCACCATCCCCACCTACCCCTCCGGCCAGATCGGCTTCATGGTCTGCTGCAAGGACGCCACCCGCAACGTCAAGGAGCCCGTCCGCTCCTGGACCCGCGAGGAGGAGGAGCGCCTCTGCCGCTACTACAACCAGGACATCCACCGCGCCAGCTTCGTCCTGCCCAACTTCGCCCGCAAGGCTCTTAACTAGATCACTTTAAACTTTCGTGTTGATTCTTCTCTCTTGTTTTGGGATCGGGGGCCTCCGGTCCGAGGCGCCTAGGGCGGATGATAATCGATGAATGATCTGACGATGATGAATATAACCAAAAGATTTCCCTTCATTCATTCTTAACCGACATGCTACTATTACTATACGCAACCGAGTAGAAACGGATAGGGTAATGCCGCGTATGTCCGGTGAATCGGAGCTCCAAGCACGATCCAATTGAGAAAGGGCCGACCGACCAACCCCATACGGTTGATTTGCTTGGGCTTAAAAAAACGAATCCTACGAGGACTACGCCGAACCACTCATAAACCAAAATAGAAAATCGTGCATTTTATCTTAAACGACATTCGTTAAATAGGACTTCTCCTGAGGGGCCATCTAGGCCCTAGGATCAACATCGTCCATGAGAACCATAAACATGAAAATATAGGTAACAAGTCATCACGTCGCTAAAACAAGCCGTCTACAGAATCTGCTGGAAAGCACGGTTGATGGGCGAGCGCACCTTGTGACCCTTGTAGAAGTCAATGGTGGCGATGGCGCGCTTGCTGATGCCCTCGGGGGTGAACTCGAATTTCTGTAGGATTGGATTAGTGGTGGTACATTCAAGCAAGAAAACGGGGGCAAAACTTACGGCGTAGACCTCCTTGTAAGGGCCGGAGGCACCGAAGCGGTTGAGACCGAACTGCTCGTGAGAGTAGCGCTCCCAACCCATGGTGGTGAGGGCCTCGACAGAGAGGATGGGGATACCATCGGGAAGGACCTGGAGTCTGTAGGACTTGTCCTGGGCGTCGAAGACCTCGAAGCAGGGCACGGAGACGACACGGGCAGCAATGCCGTGCTTCTCCTTGAGGTAGGTGGCAGCCTCGATACAGATGCTGACCTCGGAACCAGTGGAGATGAGGGTGACGGCGGCGTCGGGAGCGTCAACGGCAACGTAGGCACCCTTGAGAGCGTTCTCAATGGTAGAGTTCTCGAGGTGGGGCAGGTTCTGACGGGTAAGAGCCAGAATGCTGGGGGTGTGCTTGGAGGTCAGGGCGGAGTAGTAGGCAGCGCTGGTCTCGTTGCCATCAGCCGGGCGCCAGACCATGCAGTTGGGCAGAGCACGGAAGTGGGCAAGAGTCTCGATAGGCTGGTGAGTGGGTCCGTCCTCACCCAGACCGATGGAGTCGTGGGTAGCGACGTGGATGGCGCGGACGCGAGAGAGGGCGGAGAGGCGGACGGCACCGGCGGCGTAGGAGACGAAGTTGAGGAAAGTACCACCGGCGGGGATGACGGTACCGTAGGCAGCAAGACCGTTCATGACAGCAGCCATGGCGTGCTCACGGACACCGTAACGGAGGTAACGACCGGACCAGTCACCGATGTTGTACTCAGGGGGCTGGAAGTCGACGGCGTTCTTCCAGCGAGTGTTGTTGGAGCCAGTCAAGTCGGCAGAGCCAGACAGGAGCTCAGGAACAACGTCGTGGATCTTCTCAAGGACAGCCTCGGAGAGCTTACGGGTAGCCACAGCAGGGTCGGAGGGCTTGTAGGTGGGAAGGCTCTTCTCCCACCCCTCAGCGAGCTTGCCGGAGAGGCGGCGGGCGAGCTCAGCGTGCTCAGACTTGTACTCGGAAGCATACTTCTCGAAGAGCTTGTTCCACTCCTGCTCCGCGGCAGCGCCCTCAGCGGCGTGCTTGTGGTAGAGGTCGTAGACCTCCTGGGGAACGACGAAGCTCTGCTTGGGGTCAAAGCCGAAACGCTGCTTGACACTCTCAATGTCGTCAGCCTTCAAGGGGTTGCCGTGGACACCACCGGTACCCTGGAGCTTGGAGCCGAAACCAATGGTAGTGGTCAAACGGATAACGGAAGGCTTGTCAGTGACGCTCTTGGCTTCGCGGATGGCAGCCTCGATGGCATCAAGGTCGTTGTCACCGTCCTTGACCCAAACGGTGTGCCAGCCGTAGGCCTCGAAACGCTTGGTAACATCCTCAGTGAAGGCGCACTTGGTGTCACCATCTACAACAATCAAGGTCAGTGGTCTGTCAAGTGAAAGACGGTCGTCTCAGAACCAGGCTAAAGAGTAGGCCATACCGATGGAGATGTGGTTGTCATCGTAGATGGCAATCAAGTTGCCAAGCTTCAAGTGACCAGCCATTGAGGCAGCCTCGCTGGCAATACCCTCCATAGCGCAGCCATCACCGAAGAAGCAGAAGGTGTGGTTGTTAAACAGCTCGTAGCCGGGCTTGTTGAAGACACCAGCGGAGTGCTTCTGGGCAATGGCCAAACCAACAGCGTTGGCGAAACCCTGGCCCAGAGGGCCAGTGGTGACCTCGACACCGGGGGTGTCGTGGGCCTCGGGGTGACCAGGGGTGATGCTGTCAATTTGCTAGATGGGCGCTATTGTCAGAATCCCAGAGCGATACGCTTCAGACCAGGGGAATGCTTACTCTGAAGTTCTTCAGGTCATCCATGGAGACCTTGTAGCCGAACAAGTGAAGGAGAGCATATTGGAGCATGCAGCCGTGGCCGTTGCTGTTCGGCAGGGTGTCAGTTGAGGGAGCCCGAGGTGATTAGAGGGCGAGCTGCACGCCCGGCTAAGCTTACGAGAGAACAAAGCGATCACGGTTGGGGAAGTTGGGGTTCTGGGGGTTGAAGGTCATGAACTTGTTGAAGAGAACGTGAGACACGGGGGCCATGCCCATGGGGGCACCGGGGTGACCGGAGTTGGCCTTGAAGGTGGCATCAACCTATACGGACGATTAGCTTCTTACTCGATACAAAGAATCTCTCATCCGAAGGAATCCGTTGCGCTGCTTTCTGCGGAAATTGTCACAGGGAGAGGGAAATGCTTACCGCCAACAGACGGATGGTGTTGATGGCCAATTGATCAACGTTGCTGTAGCCCATGATTGCGGTATCTGAAGTCAAACGAATGGTAAGCAAGAAGCAACCAAAAAAAGGGCTTTGGATGAGAGATCAGGATTGTTGTTGGTCAAGGGAGGAGAGGGGAGGAGAGAGTATATGAGGGGAAGGACATACTATATTAAACTCTGTTTATATGAAGTAGGAATTTAATTTTTGAAGATGATCGTACCAACAATCAAAAAGGTAAGATCAACACGAGATGGAAGAGGAGAAAGAAACACGAGGAGGGAAGAAGGAGAAGAAGGAAGAATAAGATGAAGAGATTGGGGAAAAGGGAAAAGCAGCGAGACGAGGGGCGGCGTGGGATGGAGGGAGGAACAACGCCCGGCCGGGCATTGAGGGGGGGGGGAGAGTGAGGTTTGGAGGGAGAGATCGAACTGGGAAGGTGGGGTGGCAATGATGTCTGTAGGTGGGGCCAATCCTCACCGGCACCCTCATCAATGTGCAATGTGATGATATCTGTAATCATCCCGGACTACAGGAGCCATCAATGACATTAGGTATTAAGTGAAGCTCCAAGCTACAGTGGAAGCAATGGTAAAATGGCAATGGAACTGGGCGGTTCATGGGTAGGGCAGCTGTGGTAGTGATGAACGACATGATTTTTTCATATCAATGACGTCCGGGTAGGAGAAGCAGCAGCGGGAGAGAAGCACGGAGAATGAATGATGCATTCCCCCACCCTTGATGCCTCAGGCCAGTAACACACCACAGTAAGCAATTGCATGCTTCCCTCAACCCCAACGACTCAGTCCCGAAACCTTGCATGAAACCGAGAGGGACAGATTAAATCCGTATCGATTGCCGAACAGCAATGCAGTTCCTCCCTCCATCTCATTACTCATATACGAGCTCCTAACTATACTGGTAATAGCAGCAGCCGTAGTCGTTGTTCCCTACTCAGCAAACAGCGAGATAGCTTTCAATGAGCTAGTGAAGGGACGCAGCTGTAAACTGCCTAATACTGCTACCGTATAGCTGCAACCGCCCCCCCCCTCCCTCTCAACCAGCTCAATCAGCATGCTCCCTTCTCTTCCACACCTATCAATTGAACACCTGCTAATACCTGCAATTTTTCCGACTGAGTTGGCACTCATCCTGCAGACAACCCATTACCCGTTAAGTCCAATGAGAAGTGCTCCGTCAAGTCCATCGGATATAACAATAATTCCTGGATTCATGTTTCCGATCTCCAGCCAAAGAGGGCGGAAAGTTCCCAACGCAGCAATTTTCCGGAACCATCGCCCGGAGTGCCTCTGTCCGCTGGGTCCGGAGGACGCTGCTCCGTCCCCTCCTCCATCAATAACAATCAATCCCCATCATTCCTCATTGAATTACTCCGGCAGTAGTCGGTTGATTGATAATAAGAAGGGCTTCTAGAAGCCATAGCTCCGGCTCATCTGACCTTACTGATTTTTTTTCTTCTTTCTTTCTTTCTTCCCGTGGACGATCGCTCCAACAGTCCAAAGGGGTTGTTGGTTGGCGGCCGGAGTGAACCCTCCGCCTGTCAGAGCGGGCATGCAGACACGGGCCAACAGTCAGCTTGACGACCCAGTAGAATATTAGCCGTGGACGGAAGAATAGCGGCATGCCGGTTCTTGAATGTGATGATACGGTGCACCACCACTTTAAATAGTCCAACAAACAGACCGTCGGTACCCGTTCCTAACATTGCAGCACATCGACAATGTTCATGATAGGTAACAAGTATACCCTTATTGATCAAAAGCCGCGCAACGGGGTATTCATCCTGCCGCTGCGAGCTGGAAACCCATATCTCGGCATCAGGTCTATCAGAATAACCAAAGCTCCAGGGAATCGAGATGAGAATGATAACAGAAACTCGACTAAAAATTCGAGTTCAAACACTGACTACTCCGGCGCACATGTACCGCAGATCAATACTTATAAAATGGCATACTATGTATACAGCAGAATCTCTTGACTAGTCAAAATAATAGTTATAGAAACTAGTAGCTTTCTACAAACACGGGTACCCAACGGCCGATATCGCCATGTTTTGCCTATGATCACAGAATACCAGAGCAGTACAGAAGCAGCAGCTTACATTTCGTGCGACTATCTCACTTGCAGAATAGTACCCAAAACGCCCCAGGTATCACCAAAAGAAAAATATTGCAAATAAGATCCAACCCTTATATACAGATGACTCCCAATAGCACACCCCGCTTGAGAAACACAAAGCATAACAGAATCATTCATATAAATCGTAACAGCGGTAGCCTTACGCCAGGGACAGATCAAACGGCCAGCCGTCGATCCCAACCATTGATAAGCCCAAAATCGTGGACTTCGTCATCCACACCAGGAACCATTATACCATGGAATGGATCCAGAAGGTTGGCATGCTCCTCAGGCGACAAGTGTACATCATGGTAAGGAATCCCATCGCCCGGGCTTGCCATGCTCTCGTCGGAGTAGCTGAGAACGCTCTGCGCCGCAGCCTCCTGGCCCTGTTGCAAATCGCTGTTGCTACTAGCGGACCACGCCTCTGGCGACAATCCTTGCAGCTCGCTACGCGACATTGTATTGTGGTCGGGCTTGTGAGCATATTCGGCAGTGATGGAAGCGAACGGTCCGCTATCCTCGCCACATTCTCTCCCTCCATAGATTCCGGTAAAAATATTCGAATAGCCTCGGTCCATATCACTCAGAACGAACTCCCAATCCGACACTGTGATGGGGCCTGCAGCTGCATCCGAAGGCGCAGAGCTGGACAGAGTGTGACTGCTGTCGAAAGCCATAGAAGAAGACCGATGGTAGGCCTTCTCGGCAAGCATCTGAGGCGCATGTACACTGTCCACAGGTAGACTTGCCCAGCTGGAGGATCGGATATGGCGTGCGTTGGGATGAGCACTCGCGCCAGAGATTGTGGCACGTCGGGATGGCGAATCCTGCCTTTCTGTCTGCGACGGACTCGAGTAACCAGTCAAGCGTGCTTTCCAAGTCTGAAGCTGTTTCTTGGGAGACTTCAGGGGTTTCTGGGCTGGAGGGGACATGTCTGAAGGTCCAATCGAAGAGCCGTGCTTGTGGCTATCCAGGGATACCATAACACGAGCCAGTGCGTTGAACTCCGCGGCAACAGGGGACGACTCGGTTTCCAGCTGATCAACGACAATTGTGATCCACTTCTGGCTCTCCTTCGCAAGTTTGCTATCGTGTTTCAAGGTCAAATTCTGCCACAGGAAATTGAGTCCAGTAGCGAAGATCAGCTCTTTCCGGTTGAAGCTGAGAGAAAGGCACAGGCGTCGCTCGTCGAGTAACTGTAAGATCTGGATTATATGCTTGGCTGAATCAGAGATGACGAGGAGCGAAGGCGATCGAACGCAGTCTTCTCCGAAGCAAACAGCAGGCCGATGGATCAAAGAGCGGATGAAATAATAGACAAGCGACTGGACACATGTCAGTAACGTTCTGTGCTCAATATGGGTATTGTTCAATGAACTTACCAGAAGCGGCGATCGACTGCTCGTGACATTCGTGCTGGGTTTGTCCTGTGCGAACTCAAGGCGAAGATGAGCGGGCAGACCCTTGACCCATTCTTCAAGCTGCTCTGCGACCAAACGCATCTTGGGCATGGAGATATCGTAATCGCCATCGCCAGGATAAACATCCTCCAGAGCTTTGTTCAGCACTCTCGAAGCTGCAAACAACGCAATCGAGCTAGAAATGCGAGTCGTTTCGCCAGGAAGCGTGGGCAGGAAGCCTGTTTCAGTGACGTTCTCATCATCGATATCCTCGGGGTATTCGGTTTTGATATCCTGCTCGCGTAGAACGACAGGAAGACCGGTCAAGGCCGCAGTGAATCTGTTCTGTGTTAAAAATGCATTCTGAGACGCAGGATAGTATACACGACTTACCGATCAAGGACGTATTGACACCAGAATACCTTTTTCCGAGTCTCCGCCACAAGGGGGTTCGCAGCGAAGCGTTTCTGGCTCTGGTGAAGTCTCAATTGATGACAAAGGTTGACAGCGGATCCTCTATATAACCCAAGGCTCGAATAGTCGCCCTTTGCCATACAGTACATTTGGGCAAGGACATAGCATTGCAGGGTGTGGATAGAAATGTCGTTGGCGATGGACTCGAGCATCGGCGACCAATTATCCTCAAAGAATGCGGGGTCTTGGTTGGTCCTCGACTATGACAGGATTAGTCTTATTGATGGCCATTGCATTCTTGATGGCCTGGTTGGACTTACGGCAGAAGCAAGGGCAGCTATTCCAAAAATCAGGTTCAGCTGGGTGAGGTTGTGTTTGTTATCACGTAACGACTCTGTGCCTGACAAATACTGCTCGTAGGCCTTGAGGATGGTAGGGCGATGGACAACCGGATATAGAGGGGCCCATTCCTGAAAAAAGATGTTGATAAGTTGATCCGAGACAAGCCGAGGCGGCGTTTTCAACGTTTGATCAATACGTGAGCGGGATATGGAAGGAGGAGCCGCAATCAGCGCCTTGATCGAGAAGTTCGGAGGAAGTCGATTTTTGTCGGAAAGCTTGTTAACAAAGGCGTCTGGACAGAAGTTAGCGAAATGCGTCCGCAAGCCAGCATCGACCACCAGGCCCAGTTCTACGCTAGAATGCAAGGTGGCGCACACATACCAACATAACCTTGAGTGCTCGAGACACCCGCGCAGACGGTGTAGTCATTTGCGTCCTGCGACTGCGATAATTGACGAACTCGGATTACTGCTTCCTCGGCAGCGGGCTGGTTGTGCTTCACCGGTGCTGACGGTGATCGGGCCGTAGCATTGGCCTTTGCTTGTGACGAGGTTGAGAAGGAGTGAATTCGAGAGAGCACATCTATCTTTTCGTCCTTCTCATCTAGCAGGTTTTTAAGATCCCGTACTTCCGACTCGAGCGCGCGTACTCGTTCCTCCAACGATTCGGTGTAGCCGCGAGGGAAAGCGCGGCGACTCAATTTATCGCTCGTTTTGCACTCGAAGCCAACGTTGGCGCATTGAGTACAACATGGTCGGACACCGTCACAACGGATCTTCTTGCTTCGGCATCGATCACAGGCCTGGGCAATACGACTCTGGGCGCTGTTGCCGACCTTGATCACTTTCATGGGGAGAATTCCAGGCATTTTGGCGGGATGCTCTGGCGCATCTGCCTGCGAAGGGTTCAACTATTGGTCGTATCGGAGTTCGCGCAGATAAGCACGACACAATGACTAGCGCTGGTACAGAAACGAGGCCTAGATAGTATAGACGGCGATAGTGTCGAACTAGATTTATTTCCCAGAGAGGGGATATTGACGAGTTGAGGACAAAACCACGAGTGGGGTCTTTAATGTCGAAATATGTAAGAGGTGACAGGGAGAAGTGGCGGAAAGCGTGGAGAGGAGGGGGAGGGGGGAAAGGATGAAGGAAGTGGAAAAGAGAGCGAGAGGCACCAAATAAGACTGGGAGCCACAAGTTTTTGGTTTCTGGTGTTGGGGACGGGAGTTCAGTTAATCATCCGCAGTGAGACGAGAGTTACTCGTACACAGTAGTTTACAGTTGACGGTTCCAGTGCCGTCGGGACTCAAAAGGGGGGCCAGGTGGGGCTGAGAGGTGTGGAGTCATGCGCTGGGATCGTGCCCAATGGGAACAGCTGGCTTACAGCGTTCAGTCGCTCAGCAGACACTGGGCAGACAATTCTATTGAACCATGGACCGTAAAGTTGAGGTATGTATTGTTACCTGCCCCGTGTAATTCTGGTGTAGGAAGAGAATGAGAGCATTACTAGAGGATGGAAGGCCGGTTCCTCGGCAGCTGGCTCGCAGCTGATTGTGCCGAGGATGTGCAATTTGTACTCATATATTATCTTTTACCTCGCGCAAGATAGACATATAACTCTGAGAATCGCTTGTTCCGTCCTATGTTCCAAGGCAACGACGACCCCTCCAAGGTTGGCGACGTACATAACCTCCTGGCAATCTGACAGCCTACTTTATCACCAAATGAAACGCCATCCCTGCAATTGCAGGCACCTTTCCGCTAACGGAGGGCGGCCCTAAGGATAATCCGCCACTAATGTAAGGCGAGTGCAGGGCGATTCTTGTTGATGCATAAGGGCCACCCTCCTCGCCCGGGACGTCTAGGTCGAACCTGGTCCGATTGATACCAAACGAACGAATGGCTGTTGAGGTGTAGACGCAGGAGCTGCAGACCTGATACGATTTGCTCTGTATATCGCGAGATCAAAATCAATGTACCTAGTGGATTATTGAATCCTGTCGTCATGCATCCTGCCCAAGTCATATCTTCACCTGGGATGCTACAGGACTATCCCTATCGGGAATATGTAGACTGTCCAGCCTGGACCGACACTAGTTGACCTCGAGAGTGGCTCGGTTCTTGGAGATCATCAGCACTCCGAGCCAGAGAAGCTTTCCGGTTCCCACCAGAGCTAGTCCGATGTACTGGATTAGCCTGGAGAATGGAAGATGAAGGTCAAGTCTGAGTTGCCGCTTGCTCCAAGGGTCCCTTCAATACAGGCAGATACGCTGTAAGCGTGTAAACTAGGTAGCCGGCTCCCCCGCAATTTCCGGGGCGGGAGTCTGGCTGATGGTGATCTTGGTCCATACCTACCTATGAATGAAGCCTATGGAGCAAAGCGGCGGCATGACGATGGTAATCATTGCTACGAACCCTGAAACCAAGTTCGATGCAGACCAGATCGCTGTCCGACCAGAAATATTGCCCACTTGGAGAAGGGGGAAATCCGACTGTTGACCGATGACCGAAATATTCCCGTCGGTTCATTGGCTGGGTTCCTCTCCTCCTGCATCGGAGTCCCTTGGTACCCTCCAATACACGCCGAAGTCTGAACTTCCAGACATCATACATTCATTGCCACGCTGATGTCTCCCATGTTCGAGGTTGGAGTATCGCGGGGAAATTGAACCACATTCCAGGTGCAAAGCCTCGCTGATCCAGATGTACCATTCCATGTTCCTGGCACTTCCGTAGCTGGTGTCTCGAGCATAAAGAGGCTGACTAGTCGATTTATGTACTGTAACTTAAGGTGATCCACTGATAGACCTTTTAGTGTCCTCGCAAGCACGCCCGAGTGTTCGCCGAGAAAATCACAGAAGTGGAGGCGAGAGTTTGGTCTCCCAAATCTGGTAGCAAGTGACAAGAACTGGAACGTATTGAGCCGCGTGTTGACTGCTCCGGATTCGAAAAACCAGTTTGCACTGGTTAGGGTACCAGCCCTGCCTTGAGCATTCATTCCTGAATGTGTCAAGGAAGAGAGCTGGTGTTGCATCCACGATGAAAGTGACTTAGTCGCTATACTAAACTGACGCTGCTAGAGCGAGCTGCAAGGCCCAGCCCAGCCCCTCATCTTTAAATTGTTGGACCCTTAACTATTTGAAATTGTACAAACAAGGTTTACCAAGGCTACACGCAAACATCTATCTTACTCCCTTCTGTACGGTCAAAATCTTGCATCCTTCGGTTATACGAGTGTCAGACCGGTTCAACTTTGCCAGAGCCCCCTTGACGTGAAGTCGAGAACGCTCATTTGGTTGAAAGAACGTCATGGCGTAATGTCAGAGGCACTGAAACCAACTCTCAGGATGCGTGGTTCGAATGGATTTTGGCGCACATTGCCTGAACCATTCGGGAGTTCCAGGCGCAGTGATCTTGGCGGGATTTCCCCGGCTGGGGTAAACCAGTCAATCGCCAGTATTTCAGGACTGAAGGATCTACCTCCCCGCGGTGGGTAAAGACGCAAACTCAGATCCCGCACCCACGTTTCGGGTCTCGCCTTCAATCATGCCATCTCTCGGGAACCCACGGCTGGGTTTGTTCAAGGACATGGGGTAAATCACGATGCAAGGCTCGTATTCCTTTGTTGTGATAGACATCTCGCACTTTAGAATATCTACTATGTAGTTCCTTGTGCGTATGGTTCGCTCCCCACTGTTTTCCACGAGTGATTGCATCATTCATTCTGAACGGAACGAGTTTCTGTGAGGGTATTCCCGGGAGATTTATTAAAAGACGCCTGGTGCTTCCGTTCCAAGCAATCATAACTAGCTCAGGCTCCAATGTCTCGGCAACCTGTTGACTCATCATACTCCGTATACCCCAGACTCAATGGACAAAGCTCAAGGTTCAGGAGGCAAAATGAGTCAGGCCTTGTTCCCCCCGGTTTACGGCCCAAATATCCGTGCCATATTGAATGACCGCCGGCATCGCAGCGGTAGGGTCAGGGTTAGAGTTTAGTGCCATACACCAACTGATCTGTCGTACAAAGGATGCTCTTTTGCACTCAATAATTATACTATGATTGAACTGCAAAGCTTTTTTTTTTTTTCTTTGCCTGTGCTGCAATAAACGCGAGCGTTTACCGTACTGTCGTGATTCACAGGCGCTTCAGATATATAGAGCTCGGACATATATCTAACAAGTTCATAACTACCGTATTCTTTTTGTTGTTAATAGTCAATAAGCACCGGCTGTCAGATGCTGTGGCTGTACCGTTATTTATACATAAATCTACTATGTAATCATCTCAAATGCATACCCAATTGCATCAGCTTAAATGTTGATCTGACTTGCAATTAGTGGATGTTCACTTGCTCTAAATCAGATTGTGGTTGTCACATGGCCATGTATCCCGTACCAAACCTTCTTATCCACAGGACTTTGCGAGCTTAACTCCATCTGATCATGATGAGCTCTAGGTCCTCGATAGAACTAGCACTCCGAGCACTTCATGTACTTGTATCCCTGCAGAGTTTCACATGAAACCTGCTGCCATACCTAGCCACATTTACTTATCTTTGGTATCGTATCTACTGGTGAAGTTCAAAAATCCAATGTAGCGAGCGAGGTTCAAAGAGTTCGTGCCAACCCAAAGAGGCCTGGCGCATTGTAAGGGCCCTCGCCAGGCCAATTTCAAAGGGGACTAACCACGCCTCGGCTGCGCAATCTGTTACGCCGAGCCTATAAAGCGGACTGACTATCCACCGGCTGGCTATCGGGGATGCACCTCTATCGCGACCACCAAGCGATAAAGACAGCCGATCAAGAGCCAACCGTAAGATGGAAGCTATGGCGATATCAATCTCGCTGCACCACAACCGCCTTTCTCCGCCGCGATTCAGATCAACCTTATCCTCCAATGTGAATGCAGCACCGGGTTGATATTCGCTTGATCATCTTTCTATTCCAAAGTCGTCAATACCTCATACCAGACTCACATGATTGACAAGTTGTTATCAAGCACCATCATCACTTTCTTAACCTATAGACGGTCACAACCACACCGAAAATGCGGAGAAAACACCGCTTTCCTGTGGTGATCCCAAACCTGGAGGTCGGCTGTTCAAGTCGCGGGGATAACGATAAGCACAGTTTGAGAAGCCCGACCCATGCTTTGGAAAATGCTTGCGAAAATGCTTGATGCGAAGATAAATTTCATGTCAACGACTGCCTGAACTATGGCGATAAGGAGTCGTTACAACAATGCCGAAATAAGCACGCACAGCTAACTCCTCTCGAAGCGTGCTGAGACAACACCTTATGCTTCTCTGGCAAAAGGGACAATGCCCTGATGGCCATCATCCATCCATCCAGTCATGATCTAAGAATATGTGAAAGGCATGAAGCTTTGCCTAGATTGTCGAGTCGGTCGGAGAAATGTGCTCCGCGATACCTGCCCATGTTATCATTCTTAGTTGATGGAACTCATCATCATGAAGGCCGAGCCCCTGGCTGCAGACAGGTACGTCACGAATAGACGTTGAAGTGCAAGAGGGTATACCCAAGGGTGGATACTGCCATAGCAGGTGGATATTGAAGATTCAGGGGTCAATGGCGATATGGTGAGATCTCCAGGGTGGGCTGGGGTGAATTGTCTGAAGATGGCATCATTGATATGATGATCTTGCCCATCCAGGGACTGGACATCTTCGATGACCTCAATCCAACCGATGGCAAGTCAGACTCAACCTCAGGCAGAGAAGAAAGAAGAAAAGCGCGGAATTTTGTTTCCCAGGAACCACAGATTCCTACTGCGACTACGATTGCCTACTGCTACCAGGCCCAGTATCGTAGGTGGACAGATCGAATCCAAGCAGGGGGTATGTGATCACTGATTCAATGAAACTGACACTCATTCGTTCACAGTGGCTCCATAATTCGAAAGTGGACACTTGTTCAGGTTGCAGTTAAGTTGGAAAAATTGACCATCGTGTGTTCCCAGACTGGGTTGAGTGCAAGGCGAACCAAGGAGAGCTCGGCCCTTATGACGTCGACATCGTTAACGTCACCGGCCATCAACCACCATCACCGACCAAACCCTCCTCAAAGACAACATATTAAAAGCTGCTTGTTGCCTCTCACAAACCTTCCTTCATCATCTCAGAACACAATCGCTCACAACCAATCCAACTACCAAACAATCAACACTTGCACCCTCTATCACTCCCAAACAACCTCATCTCCATAATCACGATGGCCGACGCTACCTTCCACACCACCCAGCAGGACCTCCGCAAGCCTGAATCCCACGCCTCCCACGCCCACGCTGGACAGACCCCTGCCAACTCCAACGTTTCCGCCATGAAGGTAAGGACATCCCGTCACTAGCTGCTTTCCTCCCTCCAGCGCAGTTTCTGACATCATCGACACAGTCCATCGTCGACGAGCACAACTCCAACAAGGGCGAAAAGATCGAACAGACCAAGGCCAACCTGCCCCTGCCCGATCAGCCCCCGGTCGCCAGCGACTGGAACTCCGCCGATCAGAGAACCGTCAACGTCGGCTCGGGCGGTCGGGAAGGCCCCGTCTCCGGCGAGAACAACAGCGCCCTCCGGGAGCCCGCCGCTGCCAGCAGCAGTGTCCGCGTCGATGGATCGGAGCTGCACCAGAACACACAGCCCGGCAGCAACGTCGGCCGCCAGGGTAAGGACAACCTTGAGGGTCTGCCCAAGGATGCCCTTGCCCGGTAAATACCTCGATGCTACTGCTACATCGAAAAGCCTTTTTTCCTTTTTAAAGCATGTACAATAACGAATGAGCAATTTAATGAATGATCACGGTCTCCGAGAGCAATGGTTTCTTGAAACTTGTAGTAAAGGGCCGAAGTTGAGACGGCCGATAGAGCTGGGCTGGCAACAATGTTTTTGATTTTGATGTGACAGGAGTTACCCGAATCTCTTCATATATCTATTGTAAGCGTAGTTTTCCAGACATACATGAAATCTCCCTCTGCCTTTTCTGGATATCGTACGCGCCCGTGAGCCGTACAGGTATAATCCACGCTTTGTTCATCTAACCACTAGGACGTAACGTTCTATGCGAAATGCCGAATCCCCCGATAACTCAACCCGGTCGAATGCAATTTAACGAGCAATTCGCGAGACAGGACAGGCAGGTATTCCGGTCTCTACACAGGTACCTAGCAACAACCCCCGCATCGACAGTACGTATCTTTATGCAGCTACCCTTTGCAGACCGATAAGAAAAGAAGTGAAGGCGACTGATAGCGACCAAATGACGTCACTCAACAATACAAGCACAGACATCCAGAGACACAGCATCAATGGCCCTCCTGGCGCAATTCCGACCACTTCCCTACAGACAAGCATCAGATCGATTTCCGGACGTGCCGGAAAAGGTAAGCAAGCGTGTGGGCCGAACGCTGACCATCTCCCCACTTCCTCCGGCGCGAAGAGCGATCGAGGGGGGTCCAAAATGGGCGCAGGATGGGAGGAGGAGAAATGGCGTTGACATTTAGTTTTCTGCTTCCCTGTCATCGATGCAAGGTTGACGCCATAGGGCCTAGCCCGTTGACGTACTTCTGTGCTGGTTGTGCAGTGAATCGGCTGTGTTGCGCTGGCTTTCTTTGGTGGGCATGTAATGTCAGAGTGACATCATGTAGCATGCTCCCATGTATTGCCCCTATTGACGACATGCGATCTCGTGCTATCCTATATAGCCTGCTCAATTGCAATCGAAGGACAGGAGCCGAATATAGACGAACACAACCAAAGTCATAAAACCATCCGCATCACATCAACTAATCACCCAAAACTATCCTTCTTCACGAAATACTCAAACCTCTTCATCATGGATCTCCAAGGACAGCCCATCCCCCCCGGCCACCGCAGCACCAAGGTAAGTTTTTATTCCACGGAGCCTCCTTGCCCCTACATCCCTGGGGAACGATGCTCTAACACGATATGTATAGGTGACCTCGGACCCCGAACGCTACGAGCATCCCATCCAGGAGCCCTCAGGCCCCGTCACCAAGGACTCCCTCGCAGCCGAGTCAGCCACCAAGGGCGGTGCCTTTGCCCAAAACCGCGGAGCCCAGCCCATGGGCGTCTCCGGCCAGAACTCCACCGTCACCAACACCGACACCTCCAACGCCCGCAAGATCGAGCCTGCTTCCCACCGCCAGCAGCAGCAGCAGCAGCAGCAGCAGAACACCGATAAGATCCACCCCCACCAGCACCAGCCCAGACACAACGTTGGCCAGCAGCAGCAGCAGCAGCAGCAACAACAGAAGCACCAGCAAGCTCCCGCCAGCGGCAGCGGCTACCAAGGCGGCGGTGTGGCCGGCGTGGCGCCGTCCTACGTTCATGACGTCCTCGACAACCCGAGCAACACCAAGCCCAAGGGCACCAACCTCAAGGAGGGCGACATTCCCGACGACGCCCCCAACGCCAGCTACACAGCTGACATCGGCAGCGAGAACGACCCCGGCCGCCTCGCGCAGGGCGGCTTCCAGCTGCGGTCGGCGGAGAGTGGCCCCGCGGGCACCCCCGCCGGCCGCCAGAAAGGTGTTGACGACCAGCAGCCGTTCCAGGCCTTGCAGTCTGACCAGCGCGCTTAGGTTACGGGCGTGATGGATGAGGTTATGAAAAAGCAAAGCGGGTTTTCTTTGGTTATGAATTTGTATACTTGAGAAGCAAAGCCCCCCCCTCCTAGTAGGATGTTGGAGGCTATTATGACATTTGCGAAGAAAGGACTGGGTCCCGTCGCAATTGTCAATGAAATGTATTTTTAGATTTATTGGACGCAAATATGAGACTGGCTGGAACATTTCTTTCTTGCTGGGGCAGTGTTACTATTGTAATTGGGGAGGTAGATGCCGGTTGCTAACTGGAACTATTCGGAAATAGCCTATTCGGGCCTTTAAGATGTAGAGTGACTTGAGTTTGGGGTGCGGTGCAAGGTGGAACCGTGGAAGAGTAAGAAGTCTCTTCATTGCTCATTCCCTTCCTTTTGATTGCACTAGGGCATTACTCACCTGGATTGTAGACTCTGACTCGATGCTGGCAGATACCGAATGGATAATGAAAGGCCATCGGAGCCTTGATCGAGGGATGCTGCCTGCCTACCACTCAGATCCCATCCCTACTTGTAACGACGTACACAGACCTGTACGTACACGATTTCATCAAGAAGCGGGAACGGGTTGAGCCTGTCATGATTGAGCACTGATTAGAGCGGTGCTAGTATAGAAAAGTGATCCTACACGGCGTGATGCTATCCTACACTACAAGTACAACCAACAAGCATGCCCACATATCCGCTTTCCACTTCTTCCACCCCCTCACGCAGGAGGCAAAAACGAAGCATACAGCACCCCCTGAACAAGAGCATACACCACCATATAATTCACAATGACCCTACCACTACCCCTCCTATACCAATCATCCAATACATTCCCCGACCCTCTCTGAAGCAGCAAACAAGCCACCCATACATACCAGATCGGATACCCCGACGCCATGCGCGTGATGATCTGCACATGATGATTGAAGAAGGTGAGCACCGCAATCACGACCTGCGGGACCGCCAGACTCCGCAGCAGCCGGTCCGTCACGCGAGCTTGCTGCGGCGAGTCCCGCAGCTTCTCGACCTTCGCACACGGTAACTCCAGCGACGACCTCAATTCCCCGGTCAGAGCCTGCCATCCCGACGCCAGCAAGATGGCAAGCATGGGGGCCGCGAGGCCGAAAAGCGGGATGTTGAATATCGTCCAGTACCGCAGAAATCCATTATCCCTGGTGTACATAGTTGAGTAAGTAAGTCAGCCATCGAGGGCGAGAACAAACTAGGTTAATTGCGAAGTGTTCAACAGGGCTTACCAGTAGTGATCCTGCACGAAGCTATAGATACACGGAAGAGTTCTTCGACACCACCCCCTCGGTTCTTTGTTGTGAGTGCAAAACTCCCGGTAGGCGATGTACTGCGGGAGGACGAAGCCCAGCCCCGTGCAGAGCCCAGCCGTGCCGACAGCGAGTAAGCGCCGCAGTCTGGCGGGGGAAAAGCGTTGCTGAAACATTAGCAAGACGAGCTGCCGCACCGCCTCCTCGAGGAGGGGGATGCCGTTCAGCAGGCCGTTACTCCGGAATGTCGTGGCTAGGCCGTACAAAACCCCGGCCAGGACGAGCTGGGCGTCTTGAAATGAGCTGGATCTAGAGCTAGAGGAGGAGGAAGCGAAGCTCCGGACAAACAACAGCGAGCCACAGAAACTCAAAAGCGCATGTGCACTCTCCGCACAGGGAGCCGACAGGAAAGCACCGGCCGGAGACACCACGTGCAAGCATGCGGCGAGGAGCGCGACGTTGCGGCCCTGCGCGCCGGGGAATAGTGTGCAGACGAGATGGTAGAGTACGATCACGGATAAGCCATGCGCAGCGTGGGAGATTGAGATGCCCACGAGGCTCTCGTTGAAGGCATAGTCGAGGATGCCGAGTTTGCGACAGCCTAAGGGGTCTGTTAGTCGGGAGGATTTCTGGAAGGACTTTCCCTGTAGTTGGTCTAGAGCTCAGAGGAAACAGTACCACTCGCCAAGACATGGATAAGTCGATTGCATCCGTAACCGAAGGCCCATTCTTGCTCGAAGATGTAGCCCCGATTGGCAGCGTGAGTATAGTATATAGCATCCCATCGGGTCAATTTAATCGATATCATTTCCAAAACGGCTGGCAATGGTGCTTTGGTTGGACTGTTCCATTGAATCAGCGTGGTCGAGGTGTCATACCCGGGCCCCGGTGTGAAGGCAGCGAGTAATAACAACAGGCTTTTCCACAGTATAAAGATAGCGAGTAACGATCGATAAGGGCGACTGGCGTCCACTCGAAGCCTCGACGCCATAGTCCCTGGGTGGTTCAGAGTATTGGTTGGTGTGATGGGGTCTGAGCAGGTGAAGACACTCAGGAGCAGATCCGCTGCACGCCAAGCCTTCCCACTCCCGTCATGCTTTCATTGCATGCCCTCACCCTCCGACGAGAAAAATGCTCCTTACGCAGCAATGCTAACTTACATCCTGTATACAACTCGCATTGACCGTTAGCAATGAGCGATGCCGATGTGGGCCCACGCACTTCGCAGAATGGCGTAGAACTACCGTCTCGTAGAAAGAATAATATCTTGTCAGTCAATTGAGTTTTAATTTTGAAGACATCCTGCCTTTTTTTCATACACCATTTGCGAACGCCAGATTTGCAACGGACACGTCATAAAAGATCAACCCATATAAGCACGTCCCAAAGGCCAGACCCCAAAGACATGCACTGCCTTGTCAGACATCAAAGTGGAACTGTACAGCCATCGCAAGTTGACAAGACAAAATAAAGAAGCCATATAAATTAGGAAATAACGGAAAAAAGAAACCACCCGATAAACCTTTTACAGGTTCACTCGCTTCAGCTCCTTCTGAGCCAGCTTGGCCAACTCCTCGTACACCTCGGTGAAGTCCTCACCATCGTCCTCACCCTTCTTGCCCTTGGAGCCCGACTTGGGCACGACCATTACGACACTGGTGGGGCGTTTCGTGGCGGCAGAGTTGCCGAGCTCAGCTCGGGATGTGACGAAGACATATGGGATTCCGTGGTCCTCGCACAGGACGGGGATGTGAGAGATGACGTCCATGGGCGAGATGTCGGCGGCAAGAATGACAACGCCGTTGGGAACGGCGATGGTGGCGTTGGCGGCGGGGATGGGAGATTTGCGGAGGGCCTTGACAACTTCCTTGACACCACGCTTCAAGCATTTGTTGACAGCAGCTGTTTGAAACATGTCAATTAGTATATGGTCAGGCAGGGAAGGTCGCATTAATCAGTCGAGATCTGCATTGATTCCCGGGCTCATCTATGTCCTTAAGACCAGAGGCCCAGGACTCAATGCATTGTATAGAGTCTGTATTGATATAGGCAGATGCTCTTACCCTTCTTCACGCTCTTGAGAACCTTCTTGGCCTGCTTATCCTCAACCAGAGGCTGGGCGAAAGGAACGAGGGCGCCAACGGGGTTGCTGTCGACATCCATAACCTCAGCCTCAACAACACCAGTAACGCTGGCATCAGCAGGGACGGCCTGCTCAATGCCCTCCAGAACCTTGGTGGTGAGCTCCTTCTCGACGGCTTCGGCGAGAGCGGTCTTGTCCTTCTTCTCCTTCTTGTCCTTCTTGCTCTTGGTAATTCCGTCCTTCTCCGCGCGCTTCTCCTTTCTCTCGCGCTTGTCCTTCTTGTCGCTCTTATCCTTAGCCATTGTGAATTTTAGACCCCACTCGAGGATTTGATTCTGAGTCCGGAAAGAGGGGTTGCGAGAGCGAGAGAGAGGGCGATGGGCGTGGGGGGAGAAATAGTCGTCCGGTCTTTTGCTGAAACCCGCAAAATTTCGAAATCCATTCAAAATTTCGGCGCTAGTCCTTTTCTAAAGTGTGAGCTCTTGCGGGCGGTGAGGGGCTGAGTCAGCACGGTGGCCGTTGTGGTGGGTGCGGATGTTCATCGCCGCGCATGCAACCCCAAACAAATGAAGTAATAGTTGATGAGTTAGGTCCTTGAGTAATGCTCGCTTGTACTTCCCGTCGCCAGACTGGAGGTCAAGCCTATGCATATCTGTGATCCCTAGCATTGTCTGTGCTGCGTTGCTGTTAAAGGTGAAGCGTCCAGTCAGGTTCGCTTGGCCTGCTTCTATCATTCAGTGTACGTCCAACCCTTCGTCGCATGACTTAATAAGAGGTTTCGAAGGATCCAATTGACGGAGACGTTCATAGATGAGTTCAAGACGAAACTCGCGTGCAGCATGGGGCTCTCCCCCGCCTGAATCCCCTTTGGCGCTCCCTCCAGCTCCGAGTGTCTTTCAGCTATCGAATCGTCTGGCAGAACCAGCTCACCCTTCGAAACCAGGTGAGACCTACACCCCCTCTACTATGGCGCAGAACCCTGACCTATCGTCCTCCCAAGATACCGAAAAGGAAGAACTGCGCGTCCAGGTAAACACGTTAAAGTATGAACTGGAAAACTTCAAGCAAGAGCGAGACTTGATGATATTGCGCCATGAGAAAGAGCTGCGGGAGTTGCAATTGAAGGCAGATGCGGATTTCCGCAAAGCCCAGGTACGCCCACGCCCTCTTTTACGGTGGACGTGTTGATCGTGACTAATTGATTTCCTTTTTCCCGCTTGCTTCTAGGTAGCGGAATCGTCCAGTCACCGTGCCAGCCACAAGAGCGAGACCCTTGCGAAAGAATTGAAAGAGGCCCAGGACACCGCACTAAATGATAAAGCGGAGCTGGAGCGAAGACTTCGGACCCTCCAAGACCAGAACCAGTCCCTGCAGGAAGATGTCGACGACACCAAAGCACAACTGCTCGACCAGGAACGACAGTCCAAATATCAAATCAACGAGTTGGAAACGATCCGATCATCGCTCCAAAAAACACTCGAGGAGCTGCAGAACGACCTCCAGACTGTACGAAGTGACATGAATACCACTCAGGCAAAGTTGCAGGAACGAGAAACGGAAGTCGCACACCTGGAATCGGAAAACCTCCGCCTGAAGGCCGAGGGCAGCGACACGGAGGCACTGTCCGTTCTCAAGCGGGAGCTGTCGGACCAGGTCAACCACATCAGAAAATTGGAGACTACAAATCGTGAACAGACGATCGAGCTACGTCACCTGCGGAAGGTGCAGAAGAATGTGGAGGTGGTAGAGGAGCAGAAGCGATCGTTGGAAAACCAGCTACAACTCATGAAGGGCGTGGAGTCTGAGCTAGGGACTGTTCAGATTCAGATGCAGATACTCGAAGACGAGCGACGGTCCTGGACCAGCCTCTTGCAGGATAATGACCAGCCCGCGGAGCTTGACTCTCCGGAATCGGTGGTCAAAGCTCTGCTACAGGAACGGATCGAGAAAGCTACCCTTGTTGACAAGCTGGGCAGCATCGAGGCCGAAGCCCTGGAGAAGGAGGAACAAATCCGAAGCCTGGAAGCCGAGAAGACCACCCTGCGCAAGGAACTCGAGAATATTCGCGCAACTGCCTCTGCAGCCGGCGGAGCCGCCGCAGAAAGCCGCGCAAAGTCCCGCCTGGAGAGGCAGCGCACTCTTGCCATCAAGGAGGTCGAGTATCTTCGTGCCCAACTGAAGACCTTCGACACCGAAGAGGAGACCATGAATGCCGAACAGAGTCAGTTCGACCAGCAGAAATCCGAGCAGATCGCCACATTGGAGAAGCTTGTCGACGAATACAGAGCCGAACTGGCCATGGTCCACGAGGAGCTTTCCCAGCGTGAGTCGGCGGTAGAGACGCAGCAGCAGCAGCAGCAGCAGCAGCAGCAAGACGAGCCTCGCGGCGTCAAGCGGCCCCTCTCACCAGCCGAAAGCGACGCCGAGAGCGAACGCCTGTCCATCCTGGCCCGCAAGAACCGCACCCTGCAGGACACGCTCACCAAATCCGAGCAGGCCACGACGCTCCTGCGCAAAGAGCTGGAGGCCGCCAAATCGCAGCTGCGATCCCTCAAGGCCAAGTCGCGCACGCGCATCCTCGAACTGCGCGACAACCCCACCGCCGAGGCCGAGAACCTGAAGATGTCGACCCTCCGCATCCTGAAAGCCGAGAATCAGGATTTGCTGGCGCAGCTGCACGGCGGCGGCAACAACAACACCAACGCGGACGTCCAAGTAGTCCCCATTAGCACCCTCGAGAGCATGAAACTGGACATCCAGGACATGGAGCGGGCCGTCGCCGACAAGGAGAAGCGCATGCGCCGCCTGAAGGAGATCTGGACGGCCAAGTCCTCCGAGTTCCGCGAGGCGGTCGCCTCCCTCCTCGGCTTCAAGCTGGACTTCCTCCCCAACGGTCGGGTGCGCGTGACCTCCATGTTCCATCTTTCGCCGGCATACCGGCACGGTGGTGGCGATGGAGGCTCGTCAGACTCGCAGGGACCCGGCAGCATGGGCAACGGCGAGGAGAATTCGATCATCTTCGACGGCGAGAATGGGACCATGAAGATCTCGGGGGGTCCTAATAGCCTCTTCGCGATGGAGATCCGGCCCCTGGTGAAATTCTGGGTCGAAGAGCGCAAGGATATCCCCTGCTTCCTGGCGGCCATGACGCTGGATTTCTACGATAAAACGACCCGGGCGGCGCGCATGTAGAAGATCGCTCCACGACTTGTGCAGTAGTAGTAGTACACACTCTTCAGATCCCATCTCTCTTTCTGTGTATTTGATTAGCTCGATAGCCCAAATGATTCCCCCCCGGCACAGGCATCACTGGTGCCATGTTTGTTATACCGTTGCAACGTCTCAGAGTCTTGGTCGTGTGTCTTTGTCACAAAGTTAGGGCATGTATAGACAGTCACCAGTTTCCGTACACGAGTGCAAGTCAAACGCACACCTTGTTGAGCATAGTCACATCACAAGAAGTCACGTGAAATTAGCTCGTGGACTAAAAGATTTTAAGTCGCTATGGGGTAGAACGTGGGCGTTCATGGAAATATTAAAATGCACGACGTAGAACTTGAGCATTTACAAGGCATTAGACATTTCCACTTATTCTGACAAAGGAACAGAAGGAAGGATTATTTTTTTACACCACCGCGAGTCCGGGAGGAGGAGGAAATGAAGTTTATAAAGGAAAAGAATGTTGAGGGGATAATAACATGGCAGATAGAGAGGAACATTGACATAGTGAAAAAATATAAGGAAGGGAGATAGAAAAAAGCGCTGTGTGGTTAGTGCGGGGACTGTACAGGTACAGGTACAGGCGGTGGGGATAAACACAGTACGAGCCACATTTTTACCCAACCATGTACTGCAACGCCATGGGAATATCTTCCAATAGTTTTGGGTAATAGCCGCAAAATGCAGTGCTGGGCATCCTAGGCGCCGGTTCGGAGACACTTTGGGGGGGTTGGCTCATTGCACATATGTACTGAAGATTTCGCAGACCGCGGGGTCGTCACGGACTCAAATGTCAAGATGAGACATACTTGGCTGCGACCAGTTTGCGCAGAGTTGGGACTCTACTCCACTCGGAAGACGAGTCCGCATCCGCAGTCGGCGTTCCTGAGTCCTCGTCTGCAAAAGGATCAGTGCTCTTCTGTACGCTTGGCTCGGGTGAAGAAGCGGTGCTGATTCCTAATTGGGTTCCATCTTCGATCCTGTGCACCTCGAATCTCGCATCCACTTTACCCTTCCGCGGCCCACTGGTTCCGGTCGAGAACCGAACGAGGAACTTGCCATCAGATCCTGCTGTGACATCTAGTTCAGGAAGCCTCCAAGTCACTGCTGACTGCTTGCGTCGGAACGTGGCTCCCGTGTTGGGGTACATGACAGCAGCTGTGGCATGGGCCACCTCTCGGTCTTCAAGGGGAGATGTGTCAAGGTTGACAGTCAATAGTAAATTTTTGACGTTGATCGAACTTCCCTTTGGGAATGACGGGTTGGCGGAGTAGAAAATGATTACACTGGCCTGCAAATCCTCGATGTTCCAGACTGGTTTGAAGATGACTGGGCAATAGCTCGGAGCATTCGCCGGGTCAAAGTGAATCTGGTACTTGAAAGCCACGGTCGGCGAGGGGCGAGTGATGCCACTTAGGTTGATTTTGTACTGGCCTCTTTGCTCATCCGACAGCTCCTTGTTCTTATCTTCGCTCACAAAGTGTGGGTTAGCGGCCACTTTTTCCAATATTTGGAAGTTGTCAAGCCGAACTCGGGCAGTTTCTGCCGGCGTGTCGGGAATAGGGTTGTAGGCCAGAGCAAGTTCACCAATAACGTGTGTCTTTGTTATGGCTCCTTCAAGGAACCATGCACTGACGGTATCTATTATCGAAGCATTGAGACCGGGTCCGTGAAGCTCTGGGTGGGCGACAATGCCCGATACGCTATGCAACGTATGCCCCGAGCGAATCGACGTGGTGTCGGAGAGCGTATGGTCGTCTGTAGCTGTAGTGGGTGAATGGACAAGCCTCGAAGGCGCTGAGGGAGAGAGTGGCACAGGAGAATCAGATGCTGAGGGCGAGACAGGGTTCTCGCTTCCGGGGACAGGGTTGGGAATAAAAACCGTGTTGCGGACGTCACGCCGGCCGCGCAGAGTACCTGCATTGCGCCTCGTTCCCGATTGTTGAGCCCGCTAAGCAGGGTATTAGCACCTCTCCAACTACGTAGTACCTATGTGTCATGAACTCACAAGTCTAAGTTGGTTAGCCATATCATCCATTGCCTGTTTAGCCTGATCTTCATCCTCAAAGATCGGCTGGTCTCGAATGGTCAGATTTATGCCACTTTCTTCCAAACTGCGATGATATTAGCCTGCAATGAAATTTTGATCAGCATGGCGCGAATTACATACCCAGCCGCTTCTCTTTGAGCCCGTGTAATCTCGTCGATGGTATCTGGGCGCTCCGAGAAACCCTCCGAGTCTACTCGTGGCTGGACAGGGTATCAGTGAGGATCTTCTGAAGTATTTCCAGGTGCGACTTACTTCATTCGGAACGGTAGAGCTCGCCTCGTTAGGGGTCTCATGGGGGGCTTCCCCATTAGCCACCGCAGGTGCTGGTTGAGAGACTGGACCAGATGTTGACCTATTGAAATCTTCTTCACGTTCGGGAAATTCGCCTGGGATATTCAAGGATCCAGAATGACCCTCTTGAGTACTCAAAGCAGTGCCGGGACGATCAGACCCTTCTGGAGGAGTCTCCGGAATGTGCAGATCGCGCGAATCCCCCCTCTTAAAAGAAGCAAATGGGCTTCGGTGTTTCTTATCTGAGAAAAATGGGCCACCGCCGGAAGGCTGTACAATACTCCGACGTCGATTCATCACCGTACCTAGTCGTTTCAACCCCCCAAGAGGAGTGCTATGGCGAGGCTCAGGAACTAGGATTGACCGATCAGTATATCATGCCTAGAAACAGCAAGCTCCCTGGCAGCCGAGACTGAATACTTACCGGGAGGCGCTCTGGCCGGTCCCGAAGTTTCCGAGCGCTGGCTGGCAGCATCATCCTGAAGGTGCGGCGGAGGAGAGAGCGGGGCCACGGGAGGAGGGGAGGCGGCCTGCTGTCTCCGTGGAACAACTGGTCGTCCCCCGTTGATTTTTGCGGCGAATGTTTTGATTTCGTCTGCGGTTTCAACGTTGAGAAGAACATTCAAACAGCTCTCAGCCGCCTGACGGCTGCGTTCCACCTGATCGGACTCATGGGTCTCCAATTGAGTCAAGACGTCCCTTAGGTGATTGAGGCGACTTTCATCTGCCGCCTGCAGCTGTTCAAAGACAAACGGGGCCCTGGAGTCCCATTGCTGGCTGATCTCCTCGGCAGCAGCCACGGCACTGGCTAGTTTGTCTGCGCCCTTGGGGCCCTTTTCCCTGGCCTTCTCAACCTTCTTCTGCGCCGTGTCGTAATTCTTCGCCAATGCTGCAAGATCACTCTGGATTCCAGGCATCGATGATAGTTCACGGCTTTTGCTGTTGTATTCCCGCAGAGGTCGTTCGACATCTTCATCGATCTTTTGCGCGAAGGTTTCGTGGGAGAGCGCTATGGATTCAGTAGCACTGACGATGCGTTGCCATGGGATCTGAAATACGCTGCGGTGCGATGTACATGTTAGCTTCCATCAACTTAAACGTGCCCGGATGGTTAGCATTACCCCAGCGCAGCTCCATTGTCTAACTGTGGGCGATGCGCAAGCTTCCTCAAGCCTTGAGCGTATACTTCTTCAATGCGTCGACGTTCCTACAATTGACACCCCGAGGCGTTAGACCGGCAATTTCTAGCAAGGGAAGGGGTTTGAGGGGTAAGGGAATATTTACCTGGAGCCAGTCCGCAATGTCCGCATTAATTTTGTTTATGGTGCGAATGCGCTCGTTAAGCACATTGGTCGCCTGGCTGGGCTGCAAAGAAACCTATAGGTAGAATAATGCGAACCAAATCAGCTATTTGCGCGATAGCACTGATTGTGGTGCCAATTCGCAACGTGGGGGTTGGTTGGGGTAGGGTGTTGCAATGGAGTTGATCGTACCAGCAGCGCCGGATACTCCTGCCGAGAGAGATCCATTACTTCTCATAGATCACAGCTGCGAGGATACAAAACTCGGAGGCGCATAATAAGAGCTCAGCTCGAGAGGAATGAATGAGCATCAACACAATGATTGTTCGAAAGCGACGGAGGGAAGGAAAGCCGGAGGTGCCGACAGGCGCGTTAAGGCACAAATGATGGCGGTGGAGTGAGGGAGGGAAGAGGAGGTGACGGACGGACGGAGGGGGGGGGAACGAGGATGGATGGTGATGACGATGACGGGCGGACTGACTGCAACGCCCGACGAAAGGCCAGGCGGAGGAGCCGAACTGGCCGAGTCCGCAACAGGCAACACACTAAACCACTTCAGACCAAGTGTAGCTGTCACATGTCCCCCGCGACCGCCTGAACGCTTCGATAGTTACCGTACGGCTCTTACCGTCGACTCTTGGCCTGGAACAATCCTCTTCAACAGCCTTTCGTGTATTTATATTGGAAACTCATTGGAAACCCATCTAAGACGAGCTCCGCTCCGTTCTCGCACAATTCTGGGTCTTACTGCACTTCTGTTTCTGACTTTCTCAATTTTCGGAGACGGTAGATTGAACAGCAATGGAGTGGAAGAGAAATCTAGGCTTCTCCGAGCGCTTGACGGCGATTCAATCACTGTATGCCTTCAATTACTCTTCCCCGGACTCTGGCTTACTTAAGATAGTACAACTGCCTTCCAGCGAGCTTCATCCTCCGCTGCATTTACAGAGGCCCAATCCCAGGCGAGGAAATGTGAAAACGAAGCTTATGACCGAGCTTCATCGCGTGTCAGTTCTCTCTTGCTGTGATCATTACTCCCGATTCTCATGGTTGAGTGCGTAGGAAGAATATGACAGGCTTTGCCAAGAAGCAATTGACGCAGCAGATGCCATCGACTCGGTAGCCCTTATCGACAATTGTCCAGATCAACTTCTAGAGGAGCCAGACAAGTGTGATCCAGGTCATGGCGAGGTGATTGGTCCATATCAGTCGTGCTTCCATCATTTCGATGGCCTCCACTCGACTGTTTACAAAGCGCGGCAAGCAGACAAAACTGTGGTCGCGCTCAAAGTACTCATCCCACACATGCTGACGCCTCCACACAATGCCACACGTGAGATCCAGCTGCTACGTGATGCAGCTCATACCCACGTGATTCCATTGGTCGACACACTCAAGCTAGACGGAGGACGCCTGGTTTTGGTGTTTCCTTTCATGAAGCATGATCTTGAGCAACTGCTCCGCCGGGGCGCATTGACGGCGACACAGACAAGAACTCACTTGAAAGATATGTTTCGTGCCTTGGCACACATCCATCAACTGGGCATCATACATCGGGATATCAAACCATCCAACATCCTCATGGACTCTCCAGATGGGCCTGCCTACCTGGCAGATTTTGGCATCGCCTGGAAAGAGGGAATTAGAGACTCGGAGCCAGCCGATGAGAAGATCACAGACGTAGGAACCACCTGTTACCGGTCGCCGGAAATTCTCTTTGGCTTCAAAGGCTACGGAAATAGCCTTGATCTCTGGGCGGCTGGCTGTGTCGTGGCCGAGGCTTTGTCCGTGGGACATCGTCAATTGTTCGACTCGGGACCAGTTGGTAGTGATCTTTCCCTTATTCAGTCAATCTTCGTTACATTGGGCACTCCTGACGAGAGCACTTGGCCGGTATGTCTTCAACACATCCCCTTTCATCTTCCACTCCACCATTCACATCATAACAAGCTGACGTCGACAATAGGAAACAAAAACTCTTCCTGACTGGGGAAAGATAGAATTCAAGAAATATTCCCCCCAACAGTGGGATGATATCCTCAAAGGAGCCTCGTCTAAGGGGCGTGACTTAGTTAGCAAACTTATCCGATATGAAAGCTGCGAGCGACTATCTGCTGAAGAGGTACGTCTTCCAGGAAATCAGAGTCTAAGTGTGTCGTTAACGAGTATAGGCGCTGAACCACCCCTACTTCTCAAATGCCTGAGATGTTGTGTACCTAGTCGAACATCACCTGCATCACTTTGCCTTGGTCCGCATGATGTAGGTATATGTTGCTTGGTCGACCTCTGACTGTTAGCCAGTTCTCACGGGCTTCGATCGTCATGTGATCGATAATTGCAGGACTCTGGCGCACCTCGGCAATTCTACAATTGATGCAGTCCGGCACATTGGCAAGAATGTGGCACAGACCTGTGTCTCTAAGAACGATGCCAGACACTAATTGGCTGGCGCAACCTACAGGCAGCCCCGGTTTCTAGTCGGTTTCAGGGCAGCCACAAGCTACCGATGCTTCTGCTGATTCGTTGGAAAGATAGTGGCAATATCATGACTAAACTACAACGGGGGACTTTATGGGCTGATTTGGCGATGAATTGGCGTCTTGCCACGGCACAGGAGGTTCGATTTGAGAGGGAACGGCTTGCAATCACAAAGGAGGTAAAAGGTTGATCGGCAAGGATCGCTGCTTTGGCTTTCTTAGCAATTATAATAATCCGCTCTGCAAGCGTAAAATAGGAGAGAAAAGTCTGCAGGGTGTGGAACATTTTTTCTTTTCGTATTTTTCTATTTTCCCCTCCGTGCTGATGGTTCCATGCATGCAAACTGCAAATGCATAACTCTTGATGAGGTCGCCAAGACCATGAACGACCAATGCTCGTTGAGTAGCGGTTTGGTGGAATCAATCGGATCCCACGGCCGCAGGACTACCCAATGCTGAAAGGGTGAGTGGAGGTCGCTACGAGTAGTAGTACGGAGGACCCGGAGAACGGAGTGACTCGGCTCAACATCTCAAGAATGGGTGCTGCTAGACTACTCCTGAACGAACACATGATAGTTTGGGCAGGGGCTGGGAGGCTGAGTAATCTCTTGCATGCATGAAAACCTTGAGAACGACCATGGTAAGTTATCTAACTCTCCGAACGATTTCTGAATGAGTATTACTCCGTGAGAGTCAGAAAACCTGAGGGGTCGACCGTAGCACAGCGGTTTCCGTGCATGCGCTTCGTTGGTCTTGGTCTGCGGGTGGGGCGGACATACATGGGTATGAATTATGGACTCCCTTGTGGAACAACAGTTCGGAGCTGATTCCCTAGTATCATGCTTCATGATGTTATCGAGTGATGGCTGGTGGTTGTTACAATCAACTTAGGCTATATGCAATAAATGACTCGACCCTTCACTCTGATATGATGTTAAATAAGATTAATCAAAAGAGAAGGTGGTCATGGCGGGTGAATGGGCGGCGGCGGCCTCATGCTCGTGCCGGGGGGGCAGGAAGGGGAGTTACCGTCACAAAACCAGGGACGGTATTCTGCTCTGGCCAATGAGACACAAGAGGTGCCTGAGTGCAGCGGAGATCCCGCACCCAATTGCACCATGAAAGGTTAGTTGAAAGTTGACCGGTACGGGGCGATACACGGGTTGATTGAGTTCTCCCCCACTCAATTCCAGTTTTATACTTTGGCCTTCATTTCGGTTCTTTCGTTTGTCCCGCCGCTTGTCCTCGCCGATTGTAATTAGATTAACATAGCCTCGTATCCCCTCAAACCCGTGGTTTCTCTCTTTCCTCTTTTTCTGTCCTCATACCTTCAATCCTCTCTAGTCTCTCCTTTCTTCTTCTCACCTTCCCCTGTACACTCTGCGGCCTGGAAGCTGTTTGTCCTTCGTTTTGTTCATTTTGACCGGGTGTGGCCCAGCCCGCCCCGAGTATACACTGGCTGTTTCTCAGCCTTCCATTCCTTCCAATCCACACATTCCTGAACGCGCTTTGTCTTCCTTCCCTGCATTCTGTGGCTGGATCAGACTGATCTGGCTGATGAAGTGAAGAAGCGACTAGCGATTCTTTTTGGTCTGGCACCTGTTTTCGGGCTAGTACCCTTGCACTCTTTTCACTTGGTGTGACGTTGATTAAACCCCGCCATCTTTGCCTAGGACGATATTTCCAGCAAGTCGCGACAGTCATCATCATCACAGCACTACACCCAACCAAGCCAAAAACACCTTTCATCATGGTACATGCGCATGCGCATGCGCATCGCGACCATGTCGCCAATCTCCAGGCGCGAAGCCCCGACAACGATGTCACTGTGGTCTATGTCACTCTATCTGCAGACTTCGATGGGCCTATTGGAGGGTATGTGACCATGTCACAGACTTCCTCGGACAAAAGCGATAAGGCAACGGCCGGTCTTGGTGCCCCTATTCAGCAGACTCGGTCATCTTCGAAGGAGGAAACGACCACGATCCAGACAAGCGAGAAGACAAAGGCCGAAGCCACAGCAACCGCCACAAAGGACTCTGATCGCCCATCCACTACCACACAGAAGGCAGAGCAGACTACTCACGCATCGCAGGCAGCAACGACTGAACAGGCGTCGACAGCCCAAACTACATTTCAAACCAGCTCTTCTTCCTCGACTTCGGCTATCACTGGATTAGAGGATGCTGCCGTCACCGCGTCGTCCACGAGTGTTCCAGCAGCATCGGCCTCTCCCACGGCTATGCCTGCTTCGCAAGGCCTTACTGGTGGTGCGAAGGCAGGAATCGCCATTGGCGTGATAGTTGCAGTCGGTGCGATTGCAGTTTTCATCCTCCTCTGGCTCCGCAAGAAAAAGCAAGGTCAGCACGTGCAGGAAATCGACCCTGAGAATGAGAAACACGTGCGCCAGGAGGATATTGCACCCCCCCCTCCTCCGAAGCCGGAATCTGTGACCTCGCCCAGTCCGCCTCAACTCAACATTCGCCCTGTGACCCAATTTGCACCTTTCGCATCGGATTTCGCGTCGAACGGTGGTGCGGCTAAACTCTCTGCAGGTGGCAGTCTCGCACCCGTTGCTGAATCTGCTGTTGTCAGTCGCTCTCTCACGGATCATCCTTCGCCGCCCCAAACGCCAAAGTCCAGCTCTCACGGTTCAGACCCATTCGGTGACCCTGTCAACCCCTTCAGCAATGGTGCGGAAGCCCCATCTCCTCTTGCCTCAAGCACTGCACTTAGCATCGCATCTGCACCTGTTCCACAGGCCGAGGAGACTGCTTCTACTCCAGAAGAGATAGCTCCTGCAGAGACCGAGCAAATTTCACCAGTGGTGAGTGCCGCCGAGAGTGAACCGGTTGCTGAAGACGCCATCGTTACCGGAGTTGCGGCCGCAGCTGCTGTCGTTGGCGTTGCAGCTGTAGCCACTTCTACGTCGAAGACACAAGAGAAGCAACTGCCCGTGTCTCCCGGAGCTTCTGGAACAGGTTCCCAAGCTATTCCCCAAGGCGCTGTCCTAGATGATATTCCCACCGCGAATACTCCAAGCACACCTTTTGCTGCTCCTGTCGCCGCTCCTGTTGTCGCTCCTGGACCACGCCCTCCGCCTTCCGGGCCTGCTCCTCCTCCACCAGGAAACGTACATCGCGTGCAATTGGACTTCAACCCTTCGATGGAGGATGAATTGGAACTGCATTTCGGTCAGCTTGTCAGACTACTGCACGAGTATGACGACGGGTGGGCTCTATGCACGAGACTTGATCGATCGCAACAGGGTGTTGTCCCTCGATCTTGTCTATCTTCGCGGCCTCTCAAGCCCAGACCCCCTCCAGGTCCTGGGGCTCGTGGCCCGCCGATGGCAGCACCCAATCGTCCGATGCCCCCTAGGCCCACCACGCCATCCTCCAACTTCAACCCCCCGGTCCCTCGGCCACAGTCACCTGCTCGCCCGATGTCGCCTGGCCAGCCCAGCTACGCCGGTCCCGGTCCTATGCCACTGCGTCTCCACAACCAGCATCCTATGTCCCCTGCTCAGGGGCCAACTGCTCCCAGATCCTTCTCGCCGGGGCCGGGCCCTAGACCGATGGTTCCCAGATCAATAAGCCCTGGGCCTTACGGTTTTCCGGGGATGCAGAAGCCCCACATGCCGGCAAGCCAGCGGCCACGAAGCAACAGCACGGGTGCTGCTATGGGACCCAACCCTCGGCAAGGCGGGTTTTCGGGTCCGAGTCCCTTAGGTGGTCCGATGATGCCACCAGTGTCCACCATTCCCCGAGCAACACCGACAATTGTTGAAAGCCCGATCTCGGAGACCGGGGACCGCGAGTGGTAATTGTCTTGCTCAACTCGACCTGAACAAATGGAGTCACGGATTGTTTGGCGTCTGCGATACGAGCATAATACTCGCCACTATGCTGGAGGCATCGATATTGCTTAAGCTGCAGTGCACACCCTCCTTATCTTTTCACCTTGTCACTTATTATCCATTCTTGGACCCCCACTCTTTTCTTATTTACCCTTCTCCTGAACAGATATGTCATCATGATTTCTTCTTCCTCAAGTACGCTTCTATGGAGACGATACAAGATACCCACCCACCCGGTTGCCGTCCACACTCACAAGATTACTGCGTACTCTTCTTTTCGAGCAAGGACATGGGAATCCGGAGTGATTCGATGTGTGAAATGCGTGATATGATATGTCTGGATACCATTTTGAATGAACCTGGCTTTCCAAGCTGTCTCGGTTCTATTTTTTTTTCTACTATTTCCTGGCTTTTCCTCTTTCTCAAAATACCACCTGCTTCCCGATTCAGCCTCTTCAAACCGTACAATCTTTTTCATCTGTCTTTGACTCCCGCAAATACTTGGATTCGAATCTTACTTAACTTCCGCTATTCCGACCTTTACTTTGACGGCTGCTCTGCACTAATAATGGTCTTTGAGGCTATATCATGCGTGCTGCGCGAGACGAGATGGGGGGAAGGCACCACGGAGAGCAAAAGACGGCAGAAGGATAAAGCTTATCTATCACACTACTTTTCTTTTCCCCTGAGAGGGTGTGTCCCCCTTGTATGTGAATCTTGGGTGTTTGTTGACGTGTATGTAATGTTTTATGTGAATGTGTACAAGTCCAATCCGAGCGCAGAAGTAGGTGATGTTGAGCCCAGCCTCGAAAAAGACAAAAGTCAGAGGAATGCCATCTCATTTCATTTGATTTTCATTTTCTTTCCAAAAAGAGCTCTTCACGGTCCAAGTAGGAATGCTAAACTCTTTGTCTATACTAGGTAGTGTCTAGACCCAGAAGCCGAGCGGTGGCGCTCGACTCTTGTCTATAGTCTACCTGATCTCTACAATATACTCTAAAGATGAGGCACCTTCCCACTCGCGAGCAGGAGGTTCACGATGCTGATGATGCCTTCCCCGAGGATCAGGCCCGATGCCAGCACGACGACGGTCGACGACGCCGCGTCTGCGTCCTTGCTGGCTTGTTCAGCGGACCGCGGGCGGTGGGTTGCCGGCACGCGCGGAGTTTGGCCATCCGCCGCATCCGGGGCGGTCGGGTGATCCGCGTCAGGGGAAGTGGAAGCGGAAGAAGCAGCAGCAGCGTGGCGACGGGCCCACCACCAGGCGATCAGGCCTCCGATGGCGCGCGCGAGGGTGAAGGAGGGGACGTTGAAGATGCCAACGGCGACGGCGATGCCGCCGGGGATCCAGTCGCGCCAGGGGGCGGAGACGCCGCGGTGGCCGGCGTTGGCGATGGGGGAGGCGGCGACGAGGCGCAGGATGGTCACGGCCACGAAGACCACGCCGGCGACCAGGGAGGCCTGCCAGGCCATCGGGGGGAGGCCCTGGCCGGTGACCAGGCGGGCGGTGAAGATCCAGACGTAGGCGGTCGGGGTCTGGAACATGGGGCCGGGGACCTCGTAGACGCTCACGTACATCTTGTAGACGGCGGTGGAGAGCACGGCGCCGATCAGGCTGCCGATCATCTGGCCGTAGAACTGCGCTTTGGGGCTGGCGCCCAGGAGGTGGCCGGTCTTGAGGTCCTGCATCATGTCGCCGGCCTGCAGGGCGCCGGACTCGGAGACGGCGCCGGCGAGGAGGTTGGTGACGAGGGCGGTGCGGCGCGAGAAGTGCGCGGCCGGGGTCGCGAGGGAGAAGATGAGCTGGGTCAGCTTGCTGATACCGGAGACCGGGTTCAGATCGGTCTCGCCCAGCGCGCGAACGCCCATGATGGAAAGCAGGACGGCCAGTAAGGTGGCGAGGCTGGATAGGAGGGGCGACATCAGGTCGCCGAACACGATGTGCATGCAAACCACGTTCAGGATCAACGTCAACGGAAGTAGTATAAGTACTGTGCGGGTAGAGATAAGCTGCGAGGGCGGCGCATCTTCCTCGTTGTCGTCACTGGTTTTCGGGCGACTCTCAGGGGGCGGAAAGAGACGGCTCTGGTAGGATGATTCTTCGGTGATAGGGCTCAGGGCAGAATAGCTGACATACGAATGCTGATGCGAGCGGGATGTCGCTGCCTCGGGGAATATGCGACGTCCGATGCGACTGGAAAGCACCTTGTCTTTCACTTGGGGAGCGTATGATACGAGTGGCCGTACCACCAGCCAGCCGAGACTGACGATGGAATCTGCAAGCATGATAGCCAACGAGATCCAAACAATCCACGCCTTGCTTCCATCTTCCCAGCTGTCCACAGGGCCGGGAGCCCAGCCACGCGCTTTCGCAAGCGGCGAGAGTATACCCCAGCCCAACACAGCGCCGAAGAGCATGTGCATGCACGTGGATGGACCCATGATGATGCCCTGGCCGACGTAGGCGGGCGATGGGTTGAGGGTCCACAGCCAGTTCCGAGCGAGGTAGAGCCCAAGGATGGGGATGTCGCGGACCTGAGGAACAAAGTATGAAAACAGGGTCTGGGGATAACCGCGTCAGTTGTCAGACCGAATCACACACGCAAAGTCGTAAACCCTTACATATACGCCGGACACGGCAAACGCACCCACCAAGAGACGCATCTTGGCTCTCCAATCTTCCCTATCTCTTGCCAGATCGGCCGGATCATCTTTGGCGAGCACGTGGTCATTGTCCGGTTGTTGCGCCAACAAGGGCGCCTCGAATTCTTCTCGGAACCTTTGTGCCTCACCAGCTTCACTAGCCTGGGCCTCTGTCTTCTCACTGCGCCAGCCGCCCCCGTGCAGCACCTTAAGCATCAATGCCGATGCGGTACCACTGGGGAACTTCAGCTTCTCCCGCACAATGACTTCCTTCCTCAAGGGGACGGCAAAGACCACGCCAAACAGGCACACTCCGAGACTCCAGAGCACCAGTTTTCCGAAACCCAGCCTGAGCGGACCACCCTCCCCGGTACCACCGTCCCCCGATGGCCCATCGGGTCCGTCCTTGATCAGGAATTCCAGAGCAGGAACCACCCCCACAAAGCCGCACCCCAGGGGCATTGTGCCGACCGCGCCCGCAACGGTTTGTATGAGGACGTTTTCGATGGGGGTGAACGGGTAGGCCAGGTACTTCGAGAAGACCTTGAAGACCGAGAAGCCGATCAAGGCCGAAGGCATGGCCATTGTACTGATCCATCCCGTCTGCAGGCCGAAGTAGGTGTTCGAGAAGGTGATCAAAACGCCGATGAGGATCCCCACCAGCAAGGAACGGATGGTGAAGCTCTCCGCGAAAATCTCGGATGACGGCTGTCGGTGAAGTCTGGGACTCGAGGAGCGATCCGCCCCGAATCTGCTGGGATCACCATCGTCGTTTGTGGATGGGATCGAAGCCTCTGGGGCCTGGCGATATGGGCCCGAGGGATTGGGGGAGGCATCGCCCGCCATGTTGATGGTTTGGTAGTTCATGCGGTGCAAACACACCCAAAGTTCATTCCCGGATCCAACACGCTGTATTTAACCTGCTTCCATGACCGTTAAGCAGGGGAGAAGCAGCTGGCCATGTTGCGAAAGGGAAAGAATGGGTGATGGGGTGGAAGGGGAGGTGATAAGGCGCAGCGAGGATTGGATTGATAATCGGGGTTTACAGTGACTAAAGCACAGACCGCCACTTGCAATGACGCGATATGACTAAGCCCGTCACGATAAGATAAGCTCCTTGGCACTGCAGCATACAAAAATCCCGTCTGCCTACACAGAAAACGATAACGGCTGTCTTTTGAATCCGCGGTGGGTACTGCTCATAAGAAAGGTCTATGATAATAATAAATCAGCGTGGCTACACTGGCTAGTGCTACCTTTCTCAGAAAACAGAAGAGAGTTCTAGCCAACACAGGCCCTAGTTCCAACTAATCCCCAGAACTCTCCACCAGCACCCTGACCCCCTTCGTCCCCGGCCACGGCGACAGAATGGTATTCTCGGCGTAGAACGCCACGTCGCGGACGGTCGTGCCCACCAACCGCAGCCGATGGCGGCGGATCAGCGTCGCGAATCCAATGTACAGCTCGGAGTAGGCCAGGTTCAGCCCCAGACACATGCGGGTGCCCCGGCCGAAGACGGTCAGGTAGTGGGTGAGCGGGTGGATCCCGTCGGGGCCCCGGGGGTCGTGGAGCCAGCGCTCGGGTTGGAAGGTGGTCGGGTTGGGGAAGACGCGCTCGTTCATCAGCATATGGTACTGGTCCATGCTGACGGCGACGTTGACGGGGATGGCGGTGTTGTGGTAGACCCATGGCTGCGAGGGGTTGCGGTTGATGCGCACGAGGCGTTCGATGACGCCCATGCCCATGCGTAGGGCTGTGGGGGTTAGTTTTGTCTCTATGTTTGCTGGATATAGGATATAGGATATAGGATATAGGATATAGGATATAGGATATGGGATAGATAGAGTAGCGGATGGGGTTTTTCGGGGGAAGGGGGGAACGTACTCTCGCGGATGACCGCCGTCAGGTAGGGCAAGGTCTCCAACGTCGCCCAGGGGGGAATCTGGGCGGCATCGGGGATGGCGGTGTACAGCTCGTCTTGCAGCTGGGCGTAGATCTGGGGATTGTGCAGGATGTAGAAGCTGCCCAGGGCCAGGGTCCAGGCGGTGGTCTCGAGTCCGGCCCCAATCAGGGACTCGGACTCGTGCTGCATGCGCTTGTGGGTCAGTTCCTCGGGGGGCAGGCTGGAGGCCAGCATCTCGTGGAAGACCGTCGCGTGCCCCGTCTGCCCTAATCGGGCCCCGTGTGCGTGGTGGCTGGCCAGGATGGTGGCCGTCTGCCGCGACATTTCCTCGCGATATGCAATGATCGGCTCGAAGGGCGGAAACAGACGCTTGGCCAACCACGGCGGCAGCGTGTCGGTGACGGCGCCCAAGATGGGCAGATAGCGAGTGACATGCGACCAATTGGTGACTCGCGTGATCGCCCCCGTGAAGGGCGCGCGGAATTCCGGGGCGAGATGGAGGTTCAGCGGGGAGCCAAACATCAGGTCCATGATGTTGTCGGCCGCGAAGCAGCGCCAGACGTCGTGCAGGTTCAGCACGCGCCCGGTGCCGGCGTACTCAGTTGTCAGCCGGCGGGAGATGGTGTCCATCAGCGCCTGGATGTCCCCCGTCTGCTCGCGCACCTTGGCTTTGGCGAAGAAAGGGCTGATGGCGGCGCGGCGGATCTTGTGCACGTCATGGCGCGCCGTGCTGAAGGTCGCCCCGGGGATCCCAAACCGGTTCTCCAGCCGCTGCAGTTTGTCGTAGGGCTTGCTGGTCGGGTAGAGAGTATCGTAGAACTCCGGGTCGTCGATGTGCAGCTCTTCCGGATTGATGCGCACAATCGGGCCATACTTCGCATGCATGCGCTTGATCTCGAAGGGGAATTGTCCGCCCCCTTTGGGGATCAGATCGAAGTACGCCTCGTAGAGCCCCGTCAGGGCGGCCAGCTTGGGCCCCGGGAACTTGGCGATGGGACTGAAATAGAGCCGGTAGATCCCCACGCAGACGACATAGCTCAGGAGGAGGGAACTGAATATGGTTATGGTGGTGATGCGCGAGCTGGCATTCGATTCTCCCTTGAGGATATCAAAGAACTCCATCAGTCCTAGCCTTGCTGTGTGGAACGAGACTAAAGACGACTTACCTACGTACAGAGCGATTCAATGTGTCTTCTCGCTTATCTAGCAATGGTGCTGTCGTCTAGGTAGCAGGGTGTTCAGCTCTGGATGACAATCAATGGTTAGCTAAGAATAGCTAGGAAGTAATCATGCAGTACCGAGCTGCAAGGTGCTTACCGTGCAGCCAGCCAGCGTCTTTTGACGTGGCTTACTTACACCTCGGCCCTACCTTCGAATAATCCCGCAAACAAGCCAACCCTTAGTCGATTTACTTTTCCAATGATTATGATCCCATAGCTCAGCTCTGAAGCATGACCGTATCAGAGTTATTCGAGTTATGTTGGCTTGAGATAAGCTTCTCGAGGCTGTGGGGGGTCAGTTTACCTGAGTTTGTTTGACTCAACTGTAGGAAGCGAATCCCTGCATCTCAGCACATCACGCCAGACAGATTACATGCATGGTCTCTTTGTCTAGCGCTTAGCAATCCTCTCGCCTGTCTTACCAATCCATCTGAAGCTCGAGCTCCCCGATTCCCCCCAGTGGGGAGCTATCACCTTTCCAACTTTGCAACTGGAGCCCTACTTGGCTACTTGGCTTCCCCCCCCAACTCCTTCCTCCACATCAGACGAACACTTTTGATCCAGAGGTTCTCCAGAGATTCTCCAGAGGCTCCCCTCCTTAGCACGTCCAGTGTATAGGGTTACTCAGCGATGGCGCCCTTCTCCGGCCTGCGGGCCACCTTGACCCAGATCTACCCCCCCAAGCCCGTGTTCACCGAAGCCGATATTCCTGCCGGCTCACTGCAGGGCCGGGTGTACATCGTGACAGGCGGAAATGCGGGGATTGGTCTGGAGCTGGTCAAGATCCTCTATGCCGGTGGCGGTACAATTTACATCGCGTCTCGGTCCAAGGTGAGAGCGCACGCAGATCGATCTATATCCCCCGTTTCATCTCTGACTCGATCTCTCTCGCCAACTGCCGTGTACAGGACAAAGTCGAGGCCGCCATCAAAGACATCACAAGCCAGTCTTCCAACGCCGCCTCGACCACCCGCGGCAAACTGAAGTTCCTGCATCTGGATCTCAACGATCTGAAGACGGTTCAAGCCGCGGCCGCCAGCTTCGCGGAGCAGGAGTCCCAGCTGCATGTGCTGTGGAACAACGCCGGCACGGGCGCCAACGCCGTCCCGGTGGGCCAACGCACCGCGCAGGACTTTGAGCTCTTCATCGGCCGTCACTGCATCGCGACCCTGCTCTTCACTCAGTTGCTTCTCCCGCAACTCCGCGCCGCCGCGGCCGCCGCCTCCCCCGGGGATGGTGGTCCAACGCGCGTGATCTGGACGTCGAGTGGGCTGGCGGAGGCGGGCTCGCCCCCCAACGGCATCGATTGGAAGGTCATCGACCAGGGGACCAACAAGTCGGCGCAGAACTACGGCGCGTCGAAGGCAGGGACTTGGTTTCTCAGCCGGGAGTTCGCGCGGCGGTACAAGAAGGATGGGATTGTCAGTGTGTGCTTGAACCCGGGCTATTTGAAGACGGCGTCGTTCAACGGGACCCCGGCCCTCGTCATGTTTATCTTAAACCGGGTCATGCTCTCGGAGCCCATCTACGGGGCGTATACGGAGCTGTTTGCCGGGTTGTCGCCCGAGGTCACGCTCGAGACCAGCGGGGCGTATATCATCCCCTGGGGACGCATTCGGCCGAACACGGCCACGGGGCGGCAGGATCTGATCAAGGCGGGCGACTCCAAGGAGGAAGGAGGATTGGGGTATGGGGAGAAGCTGTGGGATTGGTGTGAAAAGCAGTGGGCGCCATATGTTTGAGGATGGGGCCGGGTCGGGGGAGGGGAGGGGAGGGGAGGG